AAATATCGTAAGCCACTGAAAGGATTTTAATAAAATTTAGAATTTCGTTAGCTCATACAAAATTTGGTCCTCAATTGTACCCCTTAAAAGATAAGATTATTCTCAAATGAGGTTGGTAGTAAATTAGTCCAATCAATCGGGACATCCGAGGTTACAAAATATCGTAAACCACTGAAACGATTTTAATAAAATTTAGTATTTCGTTAGCTCATAGAAAGTTTGGTTCCCAATTGTACCCCTTAAAAGATAAGATTAAGGTTTAGGCTGTGCTTGAGTTTAGTCCAAAAACACGTAAAAATTTTTTGTAAATATAAGAGATGTCACGCCCTTTTTCCAAATTCAGACAAACATAAACCAACTACATGACATTTCGTATAGGCAGGATCGATGTGGAAGCGAATTTTTATTATTTCGCTCTATTATTTTTTTTTTAATATGAGTGTATGAAAGGATCAAAATAGTTTCTTCAGTTAGAAGCCAGGTCATTTTGCACTTGAAATTCCAATTAAAGAGAGTGCTTATTTTCCGCCACCTCATAATATTCAACGACCAACGTAGCAAGATATAAATCTTTTACAAATCCATTGTCTCAAAAATTTCTTTATTCCCTTTGAACAGCAACTTAAAAATCTATTACTTATAAAATTTATGTGGTTATAATGAGCTCAGCAGGTAGTTAAAGTTTATACATAGATTTTAGCTTCATCCGTCTTCTAACGGCATTTCGACAGTTTTTTGACAATAGTTTTTGAGTTTGTAGCTTTTATTGTATAAGCTTCTTCTTCTTCTTTACAGATGTAGACACTGCTTTAGCGATGATAGCCGAATTAATAACGTTGCGCCACTTATTTCTTATTGCTGTTTGGCAATACCTAGTACGGGCAGAACCTTCTCTACCCGGTCTTTCCTGCGGAGTGAGAGTCTTCCTCTTCCTCTGCTTCCACCGGTAGGTCGTGCATTGTAAACTTTCAAATCTGAAGTATTTTTTATCCATTTGGACTCGTAAATGTTTCTTCTTAACAGATCAATTTGTAGTTCATGTATAGTTCTTGTCTGAGATAAACTTTAATGTTTCAACTCGTGTATCTAGGTCAGTTTGGGCCTTTGCTATTAAAGTCATGCAAATTATTAACTTATTGAACGTGAATGAACGTTTTCACCGATTGTGATACAATTAGGTATAGCGGGTGGGGTGTATTCGATCGGCTTATTACTATTACTATTATAATGGCGGTCTATTTTCTCTGCAACGGTTCCGTGGCTTTGCTTTTTTATTTATTGTACCCACAGTTGCCGCTTTGGCCGAAATGATCAATATCGACAGCGTTTCAAGCTCCCATTTGGTCTTACAAAAACCCAAAGTAAGACAAGTCGGAAAAAGTGAACACAGCCAGTTCTCTTTGAGCCAAAACCTTTATACCGTTTTGCTATGGTCTCAAAGGTATACATTTGTATTTATGTATGTTTATTTAACTTCGAAGCTAAAATTGTTGTATTGATGCTGCGAAGTATTCTAAATTAAGGATTCGTCCCTCATACTCTGAGTCTAAATCAAAGAAAACCATATTTCGGGGCCGGTGAAGTCGATCACTCTCAAAACAATTTGGAGACATCTCGTTTCGTAGTTGCTGAATTTTCCGACCGCTGTGATAAAGATATGTTCTTGCCTACTCTGAAACACTAAGTACTGTTTAGACACCTTCTCATCCGAGTCTGCTTCGATTTTTACTGTTTTTTCAACTACCAGGTGCTAAGCCCAGCGCACAGCCTTTCTACTCAAGACAGTATTACATATTTTGGGCTCATTCAAGACGCCCGATTACCGCCACTAATTACCGGAACACTTCTGGAACCGCCTCAATAAGCTTCCTTCAGTTTAACCATAAAATAAGGCATAAGGCTTGCTTACGTACACGTACACTGAGTAGAGTGGCAATGCAAAGTACTTTCTAAAGCACTTCTTAGTCTGTCCTTGAGTGCTCCATTTCAAACGGAATGACCCTACTAGAACCTTACTTACTATTTAACAACATTGCACCATTCGTTTCTTCTTTTTGCTGTTTGGCGACAGCCAGGTCCTTCTCTACCTGGTCTTTCCAACGGAGTGGAGGTCTTCCTCTTCCTCTGCTTCCATCGGCGGGTACTGCATCGAAAACTTTCAAAGCTGGAGTATTCGCATTCATCACGACCACATGACTTAGCCAGCGTAGCCGCTGCATCTTGATTCGCTGAGCTATATCAATGTCGCCGTATAACTCGTACAGCTCATCGTTCATCGTCTGCGATATTCGCCGTTGTCAATGCGCAAAGGACGATAAATCTTACGCAAAATCTTTCTCTCGAAAACTTATAACGCCGACTCATCAGATGTTGTCATTGTCCATGCTTCCGCACCATATATTGTAGCACGACGGGAACGATGAGGGACTTGTAGAGTTTGGTTTTCGTTCGCCGTGAGAAGACTTTACTTTTCAATTGCTTACTCAGTCCAAAGTAGCACCTGTTGGCAAGACTGATTTTGCGTTGGATTTTAATGCTGACATTTTTATTGTGTTAGATAGACAGACGAAATCATTTACGACTTCAAAATTATGATTGTCAACAGTGATGTGGGAGCCAAGTAGCGAATGCGATGACTGTTGTTTGATGACAGGAGATATTTCGTCTTGACCTCATTCCACCAGATCCATTCGCCTCGCTTCTTTATCAAGCCTGGCGAAAGCAGAACTAACGGCGCGGTTGTTGAGGCCGATAATGTCAATATCATCGGCGTACGCCACTAGTTATACACTCTTAAAGAAGATTGTACCTTCTCTGTTCAGCTCTGCAGCTCTTATTATTCTCTCCAGCATCAAATTTAAGAAAACACAACACAGACAAGGAGTCACCTTGTCTGAAACCTCGTTTGGTATCGAACGGCTCGGGTCTAGCGTCAGCTTAAACAGCCGCATAAGCTTTGCGGGGATAACAAATTCAGACATAAAGGCATAGAGGTAGCTGCTATTCGTGCTGTTGAAGGCTTTAAAATCGACGAAGAGGTGGTGTGTATCGATCCTCTTTTCACGGGTCTTTTCCAAGATTTGACGCACGGTGAATATCTGGCCAATGGCTGACTAACCAGGTCTGAAGCCACACGGATAAGGTCCAATAAGTTTGTTGACGGTGAGCTTCAGTCTTTCACACAATACGCTCGACAGGGCCTTATAGGCGATATTAGGGAGGCTTATCCCACGGTAATTGGCGCGGACTGTGAGGTCATCTTTTTTATGGATTGGGCAGAGTGCACTTAAATTCGAATTGTCGGGCATGCTTTCGTCCACCCATATTCTGTAAAAGAAGCTGATGCATGCACCTTTTCAGCTCTTCACTGCCATGTTTCCATAGTTCTGCCGGTAGGCCGTCAGTTCTCGCCGCTTTTTCCCTACTATTCGGTTTGTGAAGTGTTCCCTCCATAAATTCAATATACTCTGGGCATCGGTGGCTAGACCACCTCTTTGTGTCGTACAAGAGTCTGCTTCGGTCTTGAAACCTTCTGTAAGTCGTCGTATCTTCTCGTAGAATTTTCGAGCATTATTCTTGCCGGCCAGCTTTTCAAGCTCTTCATACTCACGCATCTTGGCCTTTTTCTGTTTTTGTCTGCAAATGCGTCTTGCTTCCATCTTCATCTCTCGGTATCTATCCCATCCTGCACGTGTCATGGTCGACCGCAAGGTTGCGAGGTAGGCAGTCTGTTTTCTCACCACTGCGACACGGCATTCCTCATCGTACCAGCTGGTTTTACGACCTTTACGAAATCCAATAGTTTCGTTTGCAGCTGCACGTAGGGAGCTTGAAATGCCATCCCACAATTCCCGTATACAGAGTTGCTTATGAGTGCTCTCAGAGAGCAGGAGTGCAAGTCGAGTAGAAAATCACTCGGCAGTCTGTTGTGATTGCAGCTTTTCAACTTCGAACTTTCCTTGTGTTTGTTGACGGGCGTTCTTCGATTCATAGAGGCGCATGAGTATCTTTGCTGCAAAAATGTAATGGTCCGAGTCGATGTTGGGTCCTCGGAGTGTACGCACGTCAAGAACACTGGAGACGTGTCTTCCGTCTATCACAACATGATCGATCTGTCTTCCGTCTATCACAACATGATCGATCTAGTTTTGTGTTTTTCGATCATTGGACAAGCAAGTAGGTTGAAGTATTTTTTTGTGCTGGAATCTAGTACTACAGACAACCATGTTTCGGGCCTCGGCGAAGTCGATCAGCCTCAACCCATTGGGGATGTTTCATTGTGAAGGCTGAATTGTCCAACAGTCCTGGTATTAAAGTCACCAAGCACGATTTTCACGTCATGTTGGGAGCACCGGGGTGAATGCCAGTACTCGACGATGGAGTTACTCTCCTACCACAAATCCAACACCAAATTTGCGCCTTTATATGGCCTTGTCCCGTCCATGGCACTTCTTGGATGGCGGTGACTTCAGCCTTTATTCTTACGAGGACATCAACCAGCTGGGCAGCGGCACCTTACCAATTAAGGGACCGGTCATTCCAGTTGCATGCCCTCAAATCGTGATCCTTAATTCGGGGGTCGTCAACAGAAAGGGGGTATCTCATCCGGGGCGTTGTAAGTTTAAAGTTTTTTTATACATTTATATAGCGAGCCGCTTCCTTCAATACCGACGCCCGCTCGCAGCCGTACCTATGGTGAGCAGACGCTGCAATTAGACTTCAGCAGACCCTTAAACCGAATAAGTCGGAGTGGCCCCACTGAAGCTTCCTCTCTCTTTAGCCGTGACCCGAGGCTCCACACGGGTTGGTTACCGCATCTTGCACCAGGGTTGCTCACGTTTCTAGGGTGCGATACTTGGACGCAAGAGTAGGAAATGAGTATAGCCTCGCAACTGTTGCAGCATACCCAGAAGCTTGACTACACCCCATTACACCCCTGACCCTACTAGAACCACGTCTGCAAAATGCCGGACTAACTATTGTAGAGTAATAAACTATCATTACGGAGGAATTTCACATTAGTTTTATTCACATAACCGTTCAATTCCAAATATTCAAGTCCCAATTAGAAAACTATAAATTATTTCAATAACAAATAATAATAAAGATTACAAGAAAATTTCAACTAACCATAGTTAATTCACACACATAACATTTAGCTAGTTGACCTTCTTTAGTTTGATGTTTCGTTTAAGTAACCAAGCGCTATAATCGTTTTTAATCTTTTTTGCTTTGGACTTGCGCAAGCGCGCGCTAATATAATCATCACGTTCTCGCAACCAAATTCGCGCATACTCCCAGCCTATAAGCCAATTCATTGGTATAGGACAAGGCTGGAAATCCCGAAAAATTTATTACAAATTTACATAAACATACAAAGCAACTCACGTCATTCTCGTATGAGGTCACAAATTTCTTCTGTTTTATGTAGACATGCGATTGCAAATTGTCTCGCGGACGTACTATAAATGCTTTCGACCATTCCGCTTTCATTTTTTCTTAAATTATTTTTATATTCTTTACATAAACTCACTCATACTATAAAATTTTTACACTTTTTAATTTTGATATGCATACATATAGAATATAAACAAAATAAATTTTCCTGTTATAACGAACAATGACTTATAAATCTCTGTAGCGATTTTAGGGTAATTTAATTGGGAAGGAGTACAAATGCCTCTTTGACTAAAGCTTTCAATAAAGTTGGTAATCTTGACTTAACTATCCCACTTTGAAGGGGTGCAGGGCGCGAAGGAAAGGGACGGAGCTTCCCACCTAACCTTTTCGAAGTCAATGAATTCATTTTTGACTTTTTAGCACATTTTGCCCAAAATAGAAAAAATATTACATATTACATTACATTTCAATTTGCCCCAAACCTATTGTTTTTATTTAAACCAAATAGTGATATAAACAACAAACATATATTAATTTGAAAATTATAAATATATTAAATAGCGTTAGTCCCCTTTCGCATGCGTCAAGTCTTGCTTTCAAGTCTGCTAGTTCGTAGGGTACAGATACCACGGTACAAGCAAGTAAAGCAAGTGTGAAAGCAAATTCCATCACCATTATTTTAGGCTTGTTGGGGTATGTTATTTTCTTTCGCTCTTCCTTTCTTCGAAATTTGAAAGTTAAAATTAAATGAAAATTTGCTTTTAAAATGTGAATTAAATCATCATATAAAACACATACTTTTAATTTTAATATAATGAATTGAGAATTAAATTATATGTGAGTGTGAATATACCAAAATCTGCTCAAGGTTTATAGAAAACAAGGTTATGTCAATCGTTGACGTTACCTAACCAACTTTGACACACATATATACACTGGACGGGATATGAAATTATATAATAAAAAGAAAAAAAATTTTTTTCAAAAATATTTATGTATGGAATAAATTTATTATACCGAAGAAAACACAAATTATACAAATTTTGTTTTTGATTCTACGAACTAATTGGCGCTTACGCGTTTATAGCCGAGTTAACAACATTGCGCCATTCGTTTCTTCTTTTTGCTGTTTGGCGCCAATTGGGAATACCAAGTCTCACAGGACCATAAATCTTACGCAAAACCTTTCTATTGAAAACTCGTAATGCCGACTCATCAGATGTTGTCATCGTCCATGCTTCTGCACCATAAAGCAGGGCGGAAACGACGAGGGACTTGTAGAGTTTAATTTTCGTTCGTCGGGAGAGGAGCTTACCTTTTCATTGCCTACTCGGTCCAAAGAAGCACCTCTTAGCAAGAAATATTCTACGCTGGATAAGGCTGGAGGCTGACGTTATTATTGGTGTTGATGTTCCTAGATAGACAGCAATAAGTTAAAGAAGGCACACGATAAGGAATCACCCTGTCCGAAACTTCCTTTGGTATCGGACGGCTCGGAGAGGTCATTCCCGATCCTGACAGAGATTTTAGTGTTGCTTAAAGGCAGTATACACAGCCGTATGTTTTGCGGGGATACCAAATTCAAACATAGCGACATAGAGGCAGCTCTTATTCGTGCTGTCGAAGGCGGCTTTAAAATAGACTAAGAGGGTGTGGGTGTCACGAATATTTTACAAGATTTGGCGCATGGTAAGAATCAATGGTTGACTTACCAGGTATAAAGCCACACTGATAAGGTCCAATCAGTTCGTTAAAGGAAAGCTTCAGTTTTTCACATTGTACGCTCGACTTGTGGCGAGACGACGGAGTCTCTCCACTACCACAAATCCAACACCAAATTTGCACTCCTTTAAATGACCGCTGTAGTAAATGTAACAAAAACCTTGGGACCATTTAAGGGACCGGACTTTCCCCATGCATGCTCTCAAATCGTGATCCTTAATTCGTTTGCGGGGGTCGTCATTAAAAGGGGGTATGTCCATCGGGGCGTTGTTAAATTTTTTTTATGTTTCCCATCCAACACGAATTTATCAAATTAAATGTGTTTAACATAATGCAATTAGTGAAAAAAGTACAACGTAAATAGCAAAAGTGTGAAAACAAGCAATTTTCGATAGACTATTGTAGAAAACTGCACCACGCAAAATAGTCCCTCAAATTTGTCCAAGTTGCATTCCAAAGCGTGACTACTACTACTACTGCTTTAAAAATCTCGCTTTAAATTTTAATATTTTATAATTTTGGATGTTGGTCTGGTTTGGCGAAGAGTCGACCAATGTTGAAGTGAACATTGTTATTGGTGCCTTCAAACCTCGAATACTTTTATTTCTCACTTTTAATGAAAAAAAAAGCTATACAATTTCATATTTTCGCTCTATTACGTATTTTTTACCCACAGGTCTCGGTGTATTGGCCACATTATTTCAAAAATTATGTGTTTTTGTGACATCAACAAAAACCCTCTGCTGTAAAAAATTTAGTTAGTTTCGTTTCGTTGGTGAGCACTGTTCAGATAAATACAGGACGCGCATATGCTTGAGAATATAAGTACATACATATGTATGTACCTACTCTTATACATATTCCAATGCAAATAGAACAAATGCGCAAATTTAAATATTTTAGATATTTGTTTATTGGCAATAAAATATTAATTTAAGTTTCTATAATAAATACCATTTTAGAAAGTATGTTTGTACGTATGTTTTAACCAAGCGAATTGTATGTATCGATCCTCTTTTCATGGGTATAAGGCCACACCATTAATTTCCATAAATGCGGCGAGACGTTCAACCAGTGGAGTGAATGCCAGTACTCGGTGACGGGGTCTCTCTACCACCACGAATTCAACACCAAATTTTGCGCTCCTTTAAACGCCACAAGGACCTACTCACATCCGTCCTTGCCCGTCCATCGCATCTCTCGGACGGCGGTGCTGTCGGCCTTCATTCCTACGAGGACATCAACCCTCCCTGTGGTGATCAGACGCTGCATTTAGACTTTGGTGGAACCTCAAACTGAATAAGTCGGAGTAGCTCCACTGATGCTTTCTCTTTTTTAGCCATGACCCCAGGGCTTCACATGGGTTGGTTACCGCATCTTGCACCAGGGTTGCTCAAGTGTTCAGGTTTCCAGGATGCGGGACGTCGACGCAAGAGTAGAAATTGAGTATATCCCCCGCGACTGTAACTGCATGCCCATGCATTTTTCAATATATTACTACCGAATGGTTAGTCTCGAGCAGACACTTCAAACCCATTTAAGACATATGTGCATACTAACTGTACTCATTGAAGGTATGACAAATTATTTCCACGGCCCACTTCCCCACATACACGTATTCACCGAAATGCAAGTTAATCGAGCAATAAATACAATTTTTTCGAATAGCTCAGTCTGTGGTCCACTTCCCAGAGAAAATAAGAGCCCTCCCGTTAATCAAAGCAAAAATCCACCTATGTACTGAATTTCAAGTAAATAGAACAATAAATTAGATTTTTTGTGTAGGTCAGTCCATGGTCCATTTCACGGAAAAAGTCTAGACTTTCTTTTAATCTAAGCAAAAAGCTACCTAAATTTTTTTCGAATGATTCAGTCCTTGCTCCACCTCCCGAAAAGAAGAGTCTTAGTGTTAATCTATCATATCGCTTTTCAAAACATAGCAATTCCGAAAATATCAAAGTGAATTGCAGAAAATTCATATATATGTACATATGTATGCATGTTTGAGTTCACCTTGCAAGAATACCTGTGATAGCGCCCCATTATAGTATCGACACACGAGCGACTGAACCGCCACCGTCTGTTGTTTGTACATTTTTGCTATTCCTTTGCGCATTGTATTTGTTTGTTTGGCTGACTATGCAAATGCAATTGTGTGCGTGCGTCGTTAAAATGCGGACCAACGGCAACGAAGTGGTGAGGTGAGTCAGGCCAAGCTGGTGTACGCGTAGTCAAAACAAAAAGCAGCAATCAGCTACTTGCATACAACCATATACATACCTATATATTTATGTACGTACTTGTATGCATATCGTGAAAGCTACCGCGAAAGCCAACGTATTTCGGTGACGATAGCAATTGAATCGCTTGCGTACATACACATACATACACACATACTTTGTTTTGCGCTAGTGTGGACGTCCAATCCGATGTCAACGCCAACGTCGACGACAACGCTGGTCCGCACGATATGGAGTAACGCTAGGTTCATGTCGTTGTGTTTATTGTTATTATTCTTGAGTAAACAACATGCAACAATAACAATTTCACAATACTACCTCATTATTACGAGCAAAATGCACAAGGAACATACATACATGTGTATGAATGTAAATACTTACATTTGTACGTATGTAAATATATATGTTATGCACACACAAAAAGAATTCAAATATACATATGGATGGTGTACATACATGTATGAAATAATGATATGGTTCGTTGTGTATATGTACATTTGTATGTATGTATATACATGCATAAAAATTTTCGAGTATCGGTCATAGGCTTTACCTTTTAATAAATACATACATATGTACATATGTAAGCATACTTGCGATTTTCACAACCTAATTCATGTATTCTGTTTTTGTTATTGTTGAATTATTATTGTTTTCCTGTATTTTTAATTATTATAGCACAACACCAGCCACAACTACTCATCTGCATTTATGCTTTTCTCTTCGCCCTTCTTTCGAATAGCAATCAGTCAACGGCCACAATGCTGGTTGGTTAGTCGCTTTCGTCTACGCTCGGTCGCTGCTCTCTCAACAAATACAATGTTCTACTAGAGTTGTTTTGTTATGTTTCATATTATTGTTGTTTCTCTTAAAATTCCCCCGCACATACACACACCTCAAGGAAACATTGGTTTATTTTCATTCATTTCTGTAAACAACACTTCGTCATCCCTTGGCCGTTGTCTCTGGCGCTGCGTTGCGTCACTGTGAGAGCTGCGACGTTAGCAGTTGTTCAGATACGCAACCGCATTCCTCTTACGTCTCGTGCTTCTATCGTTCATTTTCCTTGTTTACTTACTGTAGATTTGTACATACATTATTTTGTTTTGCTCCGCGTGCGTTGGACTACGCTGTGCTGCCCCGCGCTACGCCGAAGTAAAACGAACTGAGCGCAGAACAACTCAGCAGTTGAGAAATTTCATTTCATTGCAGAGCGTTTTAGTCGTTTATCGATTTCGCAAGGTTTAGAAGTGTTTTACAACAATAATTTACGGAAAATAGTGTATGGATAGAAGAAAAACTTTTCGAAAAAATACCAAAAACAGAAGTGATACAGCAATAAATATATTAACTCGGTTGCTTAGAAAAAGGTTGTAAGATCGGTGTACGTGTGCTTAGAGTTTCTTAGTGCTGCCAGTGTTGGATAATTCATCAGAAAGTGAGTTTCGGGTGCTATAAAACAACGTTAAAAGGAATGCTATGCGCGCGAAAGTGACACAGCACATTATATTCTACTACAATTATTTTAGGAAATAACAAAGAACGCAGCATTGCGAACGGATTTAAGCTATCTTAATTAGGCCACGGCACTACAGTATCATGACGATAGTTTTATATTGCAAAATACTACCTTACAGGTAGAGACTGAAACATTTTGAGAGTAACATCTACTGTCTAAGCAAAGCTTATTTTTTACGAAGTACTTTTTCAGTGAAAAAAGGAAAAAAACAACTACAATACTTAGTTTATTTGTAATAACCGTTATTACATTAAATTTGGTAAATATAACTACATTCGCACAAAATACTGGAGTGCAAAATAATTTTAAATTTCAAATGGGGATGGAAACTTCTATCTACTATTCTCTGCCTCCCATTTCAGAAATAATGTTAAGGGAGCGACAACGACTATTCTTTAGCATCTCTGAAGTAATAATGTCGTGCCGCCTTCCAAATAATGTTCCGGTAAAGCGTGTATCTTACCATATTAATAGATGCCGCTGTTCGTATTGTTGTAGCGTAAGTGTTCACTGTTCTAATGTCCAAGTAAAAACGTAAACAAATCTTAGTTTGAAGATTGCAAATATCCATTAAAACGATATAAAGTGCATGAACACGCATACATATGTACATAAATACTAATTGCAGCACATTATTCTTTTGTGCAATTTGAGTTACTACTTTCTATAAATAATGAAAAATTGAATTGAACATCAGTTCTATATACTGCAATTTCAAATTTCTAAGAAAATCATTACTATTTGAAGTGACTTCACTCACACTTTAAGAAACAATTGTGAGAAACAGATATGTGTGTAGATATGTATGTATGGATTTACGCTCACATATTGCCTGCGAAAGTTGACCGCAGATAGAAATTATTTATAAAACTTTCTTTCTGCTTGATGATTTTTAGCAACGATAATAATGTTTTTCGGACAAAATCCCTTACGATTTGTGTTATGATGTGAGGGCTGTCACTTTTTCGGCGACTTAAACCTGCTTCAAGTTAATAGGTAAATCTTCCTCTTAGCTATACATGAAAGGAAATTACTTTGCAGCAGGGTACAATCCGTTTGTTGACGAAGGATTATTTAACGGTAATTCGAAGAGCAGGTTTCTAATCCTGGCCCAACCAACTTCTAAAAAAGCAAAAAAAAATTTCAGAAATTCAGGACGCATACCACAAGTTAGAGGAAAATCATTTCGGCGGTTACAAAGCGCCAATAATAATAGGTATAATAAGATTGTCCTTATTTTTATGGATTGGCCATTACCGATTTAGAGGAAGTTGGAAGAGATGGAAAGTGGTTGAAATACTGTCCCACAGCTCTCTTATAACGAGTTGCTGATGAGTTTTCTTACAGAGCAGATCGAGCAAGTCGAAAAGAAAACCGGCTATATGTTGTGATAGCAGCTTCTCGAGAACCTTCATGTATTCTCATCCAACGATATGTTGAAAAATTTCGCTTTGATGCGGATTGTGACGAAATGATCACCCCCTGGGATAATGCCAAGAGTGTCTCATATGGTTACAGTAGTAAATGCCCCTAGGACCAACTAGTCTCCGTCCTTGTATCGGTCATCGCAATTCTCACACGGCGGTTATATCACCTTTCAGTTTTACAAAAGCATCCAGCTCTGCAGGTGTATCTAACGAGACGCTTGCTTCAAGACCGACACCCGTTGGCAGACTTCAGAGTACCTTAACGTGTATGTCGTAGTGGCTCTACTGAAGGTATTGCCAATATAATTTGACATTAACGTTAATGGTGATTTGGTACCGTTTCCATATTAACGAATCCACTTAATTTTTGATAACATGGCGCTGAAACAAAAAGGTTAACTTATTCACAAAACAAATTGGTATCGTTTCGTTTGTTTGGATCTCTGATCCGCATGCATACATATGTATGCATGTTTAAAATTATACGCCTCGGAAATACATATGTACATATACTATATTGTATAATATACACACATGCAAACATATCTTACATGTAGATGTGTATGTTTGTCACTTGCATTTCCGGACTGTGATTTGCTTGGTTCAATTCATTCAAGTCTAGATACAATAAAAAAGAAATTAAATGTACGCAGGCCATTTACGCGGAAAGTTGCCAAGTACAAAATAACGAGCTAAAATATATAAATGCGCAGCTAACTAAAAAGCGGACAAAACAAAGTATATATATATATATATACATCCAAACAAACTCGACAGAATGGCAAACAACATGCTTAGCTGTAAAAAAAATGAGAAAAGAATGAAATGATTCTTAATCATAGATACCCCTCGAAAAATACGAGTGCGCCAAGCACATATGAAAAATATACTCGATGGGGACAATAGATTACTCCAAAACTAACCATAATCGGTGTCATTGCGATGTTCATGGGCTGGACCACATACCCCACCACTGCATAACATCGGATTACTGCATCGCATTAACTCACATTAAAGGGTATCTGCGAATGACTACATTCGATCATATATTTTAATATTGAATACTGTGCTGACGGTGTAAATTCTCTTTCTCTCAGAAGTTTTTTATGTTTTTCAATTCTTGTTATGACATGGAATGTTTAATATAACGGTACAAAGTTAAAACTTTTTTGGTGTATCATGTCTTCCCTCACTAACACACTCTTATCTTTATATCTGCGGCTTCTGGTGTAAAGCTAGTAAAAGAAAATATTTGTCATATAAATTTATATCGATGGCAACTCAACGGCTAGCAACAAGCTAGATGCGAGGCGTGAGTTGGTCCGTTGTCACACTACCGAGGAGTAATCCAATGGGTGGTCCAATGGACTACATCGTCCACAAATTCCGGCAGGCTATGCGTATGTATGTATGTTTGAAAAATGTTTGCATATGTTGGCGTGTAGATACGTAAATAAATGACGAAGAAAGAAAACAATATTTAATATGTACGAAATAACAAACAAACGAAATAATAATTGGAATGGAATGTTTTAGTGGAAACAAAGAAATAAATTTAAACTGTCGTAGATTCACACCTATAGTTTTTTTTGTATATTATGTATGTGTATGTTTGCGCATACATACAGATGTACAAATGTAATAGTGAATGTGTAATGTTTTGCTAATGTGCTCGATCCAACCTAGTCCAGCTAAAAAATTTTACTTATACATACATATACCTACTAGGTGTATAACACTTGGTAATATACATTCATATGTACGTACATACATATGTATGTAGATTAGACCGGATAAGTTTATTTCGCAAACAGAAACTTATTCTATGGATAATAATAAACAATTTTAGTGAAGAAACTATAGATCTAAAATGAGTTTTGAGGCCCCGATCTTTTCAAAATAACTTTTTATGTAAGTTTCAATAATATGATTTCAATAAAATGCTCTTAAAATTTTGCAGAATTGAGGTAGAACTCACTGCTTGCTTGGAAGGTATGTACAGCAGCTCTCTTATAGAGTTTTCATTTATTGTGGCTGTCAATGAAGCAGTATTTTTGTCTAAATAAACCCCGTTTAGATATTAGATGCTATACAGAGAAAAAAATTACGTAGACCGCTATTTTAAATAAGTTCCAGTGCCTAGCGGTAATGGTTAACGGTATACTTATATACTTATAATATATTGTATATAATTGGTGCTTTGTAACCGCTGAAGCAATTTTTTTGGCCGATTTTCTCCTCCATTTCGTGGTTTTGCGTCTTGATGTTTTTCCAACAAATGGAGGGATCTACAGTTTATACTAAGCCGCTGTGGCAGCGGGGTTTGAACTCGAGCCTTCCGAATGTGAGTAAGCAATGCTAACCACTCGGCTACCGCAGCCGATTTTAGCAAATGATACATTATTGTACAGGGTTTGAAGAATTTTACAAATATATTTATATAGTGCCCATCTCACATGAATAAGTGACTAAATAACAACAATTTTGGACGAGCTTTGAACATTTTACCACACACAATTCGTAAGGCTTTGTCGGCCACGATGACCGAATGGTTAGCATTGCATACTGCCAAAGTTCGAGTCCTAGTCCGACCTTCATTCAAAATTAGAGAAAATTAATTAAAATAAAAAATGAATTTTAATATTCTAATTGCTCATACGGTACCATGAGCCGCTCGTATGCGGATTAGTATTTCAATAAAAAAAAAACAATAGAACCCTCCATTTATTAGAAAAACCATCAATACGAATTTTACAAATCGGAGGAGTAGCTTGGCCGAAAATTGCTTCAGCGCTTACAAAGCGTCAACTATATGTGTATATATATACTAGCTGTACCCTACAACGCTTCACTGTCGCAATTGTGGGAATACAACATTATTACAACATACAAATTTCATGCCTTTTCCTCAGGAAAATTTTACGTTTTTTTTCTAAACCTTCGAGATTGGTCCAGGCGCTCTCGAGCCTTAGCGTCACTTACAAACAAACATTCATTTTTATATATTAACATATTGCTTATTTGTCATACAATCAAGTTTTATATATTATATATTTGTAGATATACTTAAGTATCTATTTAATGAGTGCTAATTTTCTACGTTGAATATTTGAAGGAAGGATTCATCACTATGAAAGTATTAAAATATTTATATTACATATGAGTATTAACAGCTTGATTTGCAGAGCCTTTTTCAGCTGCCAGCTAGATCAGGTATTTCCCTCTATGCAATAATCATTTATCATTTATCATTTGGAATCATGAAAATTGGCCGATTGATTCCGTGTATGTTTAGGAACACGATACTTGTTTAATACATCTAAGCAAGTCAAATACTTATACAATCAAGCACAAAGGATGAAATAAAACAAGTATTGAAGTAAATTTAGATCAGGTCGAATAGGATGCAAACCGGAGCAGTTACACCTTTTTATAAACTGTACTGAAGATTTTATTATATATATATATAGATTTTTTTATATATATATATATATATTTCGAATAAAATATCTTATTTCTGCAGCAGTAACTTAGTAAATGCATACGCATCGAAGTATATATGTGTGGATAATCTTATCGAAATAATATTACTCTCCTCTATTTTAGAATATGCACGCATTTTGGTTTAACTAAACGAAATGAATCCAAAAAATAAATATCAAATGATGGCTAGAAAAATGAAGTCTTGCATCTTCAAAAACATTCCTTGACTAAAAAATTTATTGCGTACAACAGATTTCGAGTGTTAGATCAATTAAGCGATTTCAGAGAGACTATCTTTATATTATAAAAGCGCGAAATAAATCACCAACATTCCCAATCCCCGCCAGAACTTTTCATTACACATTGTTTATGCAGCAGGCGCCAATCAATTTCAGCCCTGTCGCGCAGCCGCAAATGCAAATCGGCATAAAAATCATGGAATGGACCAATGACGACGCTCTGGAACTGATTGAACAATATCGAATTCATACGGAATTATGGAATCGTGCCGATCCCAAATATAAAGATAAATTATGCCGCTTTCGAGCATGGTCAGAGATAGCGGAGCGTTTTGGATGCAGCAAAGCTGAAGTAGAACGAAAAATGAATGTACTGCTCACGCAATATCGACGCGAAAAACATAAAATGCTTGTCAAACTATACCAGGGAATCCATCCGAACCCGTCCAAGTGGTATGCCTTCAAAAGATTCGATTTTATGGAGGCGGGTGGCGGCGGTAGTAGCAGTGGTTCATCCAGCAGGTCGGGCACAAATGGTCAAGGAGTAGCAAGTACGACAGCAGTGACGGGCGCAACGAATATAAACGGCCTTGCTTCGTATGAGGCCTCAACAACAGCTACACAGCTAACTTCAAGTGCGGGCAGTGTTGTTTCAGCAGCGACCGTCAATGCCACGCCGAGCACTTCCCACCATCGGCGGTTGAAGAAAGAGATGAAGTACTTTGGTGCGGTAAGTATATTAACTTCCAATGAGACATCGCAAAACATGCGAGAAAGCATTTTATAAATACATACATACATACATACATACATACATATGTATATGCATATGTACATTTATAACGATTTAAGCCAAAACCGGTCGAGCTTCTAAAGAAATACAATCGGAGGCGCTGGCATTCCTTGCAGGGGGTCAACCGTACATAACAGTAAACCTACTAAAGACAGGGCAAATTACCTCTTTTAAACCTTCTGTCATAATTTCTTGAAAATAAGATTATGACATCGCCATCTATCATATAATCCGCTTTGATAGGAATAAGAATATACGTGTATAAAGTCTCGATAGCTTAGTGTTATAAAAACTTTTTTGATAATTTTGTATATTGGTCTGGCAAGAGCTCCATCCTATGACCCTCTGCGTAAAAGCATACATTACCACTTCGTCGAATGCAGCAGCCGTCGATTATATACATAAGTAATCACAAACGTTTCTCCAAATATATTTATTCTTGAAGGGCTTGGGGGAGGGTACTAGAGTACTAGTTAAATAAAGAGTGGAGAGAAGACCCTTATCGCACTTCGAAGTAAATGCATCTTTGGAACTTGGTTTGGTTGGTCGAACCAATAACCACTTGGCTATTACGGCCGCCGTATGCATACATAAACCAGGCGATTAACAAAAGTTCGGTAAGTTGACCAAAAAAATCAAAAATCTTTTTGTATTTATTCGTAATCTTTATCCTTTTTTATCTCTAAATGATAGCCATTGATTTCAATATATTTCTTCTGAAAGCAGTCTTTAAAATCTTGCTTTTTAAGCTTATCAAGTTCAGCAGTAACCGCATTAATTATCTCCTCGTTGCTATTAAAGAAAAATGTCCTGTCTGGAATCTTCAGGACCACTTACAAATAATCTTCAAAGACGTGTAAGCTATCTTGCGTTTTCTCGTCTCCATTTTAGTCGATCATTCTAAAAATAGAAAGGAAGACTAAAAAAGTAAGCATAGGATTTTGTATTTTTAGATATAACAAAAACAAATTAAAAATCACCGACTGGACGAACTTTTGTCAATCCCCTCGTATGCATCAGTAAACGCTAACAAAATAATAGAGGATATAGCAAATTAACTATTAGTAGCATAAAATGAATTTATTTGATAATCTTTAGCTTCTTAAGTGAATTATTAATACTAAAGAGATGGTGAAAAGTTCATAGCACGTAAGATTTTCGGGTTAGAATAGTGGTTTACTGTTAGTTTCTTATGATGCTCAAAAGATTTAGAATAACAACCAACATACAAAAGTTATAGAAAATAATTTAAATAAAAAATTAAGCTAAATTGTCAACCCCTCCGAGTATATTGCTGACATGAAATAAAGCTCCTCATAAAAAAAACCATCAGCCGTTCGGAGGCGGCTTAGTATAAACTGTAGGTTTGTTGGAACAACATCAAGACGCAAAACCACAAATTAGAGCAGGAGCTCGAAACGAAAAGCTGCCGTAAATGTTAAATTGTTAAGAGAAAATGGTAAACGTTGAAATTGAAGTATGTTGTTAAATCATAGCAGGCAGCCATTTTAAAATGAACGTTATCAATGAGCTTGTGCGGTTTCAACGATTAACGATTTCATTTCGTTTTGATAACATGGCGCCGAATCGAAACATTTTCATTTCGGTGAGTTAATTTTTCTTAATAGAGAAACGGAATGATAACATTGCGTTTATCGAGCATCTCTGATGTACAGACATATTTACAACAAACCTGTATTCCACTCTGTTTCGCGAAAACAGCAACCATATACAGACCTATTCTGTCGAAGTAACAAAATTTACTTTGGTATTAAAATTTACCATTCAGTAAATTTTGTTACTATTTCGTATTCTGATTATATTGATTAAAATATCTATATTCACTCAAAAGTAAAATTCAGAACATGGATGTTTATCTATCACATATCGTAATTAGGGGTTGAGTCGTCATTTATACTTATAGCTAATGAGATCAGTCATACCTCCAACGTTCGATTTTGAACTCCATACATGATTACAACAAAAATAATTTGATTTCTTTGAACATGTAGTACATGTACATATGTATGTATCACAACAAATGCTGCCATCATCCATGCATCTACATCTTAAAGGAGATGCAACATAATGAGCAACTTATTAGGTTTGGTATTTGATCTTTAAGAGATACATAACTATTTTTCAACTGCCTACTCAGTTTGAATTAGCGCTTGATGGAAAAATGATTATGCTTGTAATTCTTTGATGATAAATAGAAGATATTTTGGCAGGACTAACTGCGCGTTTTAAATGAACAAATTTCGAGACTAAACATTTGACGGTTACTCCACTATGCTCGGCACAAGTTAATATCTTTTGTAAACTATTACCTTGTTGGCGCTTGCTTGGAAAACTCTTATCGGAATATAGGGAAATTTGAAGGCTATTAAAGTGGGAATACTGTATGTATTTTGTATGGACTTTGTTTCTGCGTACTCTGTTGCGTGTTTACGTTTCAGCTCAATGTTTTTCTTCCACTTTTGTTATTACTTCTCCACAACGCTTTCGTACAAAACAAAACGTAAATGCAAATTTATACACACATACATATGTATGCATATAATTGTTTGTATGCATGGACATGTGTACATACATCCATCGGTAGACTTGCATATTCACTACCCCTCATCATACAGCCTGCGACAACAATAGCAACTGAGAAAAAATAATAATAATAACAGAGGTAAACAACAGCGCTTACAAACTTACATTCGAATGCCGAGTTTACTTATGAATGTATGTGATTTTATGTGAATACTTACACATGCTAACATTTATATATACCCAGTGGAAAATAATCATGCAAAAGTTGGGATGATTCCATCAAAGTATATGTCGAAAAGCATGGAACGTATATATAAATCTTGGAACAGGAGGACAAATGCAACAATTAGCGTGTATTTTATTTCTGCTTTTGGGCACCGGTTTGGCAACCGGTGTGGTGTGTGTCTCAATTACTTCTGATAAATGTAAAACCATGTTATACTCACGAGATATCCCCAATCATCGACAACAAGTATGTAAGTTTTGTTTTATTTGTATGTAACTTTGGATAATAACTCAATTTCAATAATCACATTAATACCATAATGTATTTAAGCTAAAGATGCTCTTGCCTTTGTACCCCCGTCAGTCAGACGGATAAGGATACTTATATTGCGAAAATACTTTTTACGTTACTTGTGAGACCAATAGTGGAGTACGGATTAGTGATGTGAAACCCTCATTATGAAGTCCATTCCGTTGAAATTGAGTCCGTTCAAAAGCAGTTATAAATCTACCCACACTCTCTAGGCGTCGAGCAATGCTTAGAAAAACAATTTTAGTGAAGCTTTTCAATTACATTTTTTTAATTTTAATGACCACGGTCTTAAATTAAATAAAACAAAGTTAAAACTCCATGAACCACCACCACCGCTTATGTCAAGATTTAAAAAGTTATTTTAGCAGATTTAATTTTACAGGTTCACTTTTTGTATCAAAGAAAACTTACTAAATTTATATGGTAAAATATATATTATCTTATATTTCAGCTGATGAACTTGTTTTATGTTTTAAATCGCTTAGTGAACTCTTGCTATTTATGACTCGGCAAATTACATACGTTATACGGATGTCGCCCCCATGTCGGTTGAGCGGAAGGAGAGCTTCCCTGTCCATCCCGTTGCGCTAATCATTATTATATCAGAAAAATCATCAGAAGGTTTGAGGGGTGACCGAAAAAAAAAAATAAATAAATTTTCTATAATTTTTGGATGTACACATGAGAGTACGTATTAATATATGTATGTATGTATGTATAATGTTTCCGGCTCTCCAAGGTCGAGTCCACAAAAGGTTCAGCAATACTCTTAAACTATAACTCGACACCAGTGTTTTCAGGATGTACAGGCCAAGTCGCTTAAGTTGGTACAAGATTAGTTCATGTAACTGTATGAAACCGCAAATCCAGCTATAGCCGAAAACCCTAAAGTTCTAATCCATGTTATGTTCGATTGTTGGCAATGCTGACGTGGATAACGCTGTATGCTGTTATTGCTGGGATAAAGAATGCGACTTTTATTTATCTATTGAATTGGATGATAATCAGTTTGTTTACATTTTAGTCGTGTATTGCGTTCAAAATGCTTTCCCACTCTCCACTCAACTAAATTTCTATGCTGTGGTTGAAGAGATCACACATTTTTAGAGCCCAGTTTTCGCGCCAACGAGCAGTCTGAACCACACACTCACAAGTTGAATATTTGGCGCCGTACCAAACCAAGTGAACTTACATAAAAATTCATTGTACATACTCATATGATAAAAATTTGTATATTATCCCAGTCAGCAGGAAAATATGTTTTTCTAATGGAAAGTAAAGTGTTTTATGTTATTTAAATTAAACTTTCGCCTCGTTTATGTTTAAGTCAACAATATTAATAATTAAGAAACGTTACAAAAAGTAACACAGATAAAAAAGCCAGAATGAATTTAAAAAACTTATTCGGACTAATAAGCTGGGGTTTGGTTAATTTTCTGGATACTATTTTGTGAGTGAGTGAAAACTCGTATGTATGTACATATGTAAATTATAATTTGAAATTTTCAAAACTGATCTAAATACACTCATTTTTAAAAATTACAAAATTATGAGAATAAAGAGAAGAAATGTTTTCTTCTTATTATTCATTGTTGTACCGCTTATGCATCGAATGCGTTCAAACCTGGATATCACACGTATGGCTCAGCGACTTGTTCAGTTAAGGTTCGTTCATCGAAAGAACACTTTAGTTAAAAAAAAAAAAATTGGATCCAAACCCCGTCGGAAACGTCGCACAAAGGGGTAAATTTTTGTGCTACCAATTTCAAATTTTTAAAAATATATTATCAACTTTCTAAAATTAAAAAAAATATGTTATTGATGAGTGCATAAGTTCGTGCCCGATTCCGTGGAATCGTTTGAGAGTGGCGCTCGTGAAAGAAATATATACATATTATATATCGTTGGAAAGGTGACAGTCCGAACTGTAAATCAAGCATAAAATAACTTCATTTTGATTTGAGTTGCTTAGTGAAAAGACGAATGAAGATGGACAACGAAAAAGGTCATATGCGTCATATTATGTTATACGAATCCCGCAAAGGAAAAACTAAAGATATTCGCGAAGTTTATTTGGACCGTGCTCCAGCACTCCGCACAGTAAAGAAATGGTTCGCGAAATTTCGTTCTGGAGATTTTAACCTCGAAGACCAACCTCGCAGTGGACGGCCTTCTGAGCTTGATGACGATGTTCTAAGGACTTTAGTTGCGAATAACTCACGTATTTCGACGGAAGAGGTTGCCAGCTTTGAAGCTCGATAGATGGGTGCCACATCAGTTGAGTGAAAAAAACAAAGTGGACCGTATGTCAACAACAATTCCTTTGCTTCGACGGATCAAAAACGAACCTTGTTTGGATCGGTTCGTGACTGGTGATGAAAAATGGATCCTGTACAACAATGTTAAACGCAAAAAAACATGGAAACAGGCACACGAAGGGGCGGAACCGATGTCGAAAGGTGGATTGCATCCGATGAAGGTACCGCTGTGCATTTGGTGGGATATCCGAGGCGTTATCTATTTTGAACTCTTGCCAGCTGGAGAAACGATCACTCCCAACAAGTATTGTCAGCAATTGGTCGAATTGAAGAAAGCAATTGATGAAAAACGTCCGATTTTGGCCAATCGCAAAGGAGTTCTTTTCCATCATGACAACGCCAGGTCACATGTTGCAAAACCGACCCTGGCCAAACTGAAGGAGATGAATTGGGAAATCATGCCGCATCCCCCATATTCACCCGACATTGCACCTTCTGATTATCATTTGTTTCGATCGCTGCAGAACAATTTGAATGGAAAAAAATTTAAAAATGTGGAAGACGTCAAAAACCACCTTGACACCTTTTTCAACGAGAAACCGCGCAATTTCTATGAATCAGGCATCCGTAAATTGGTTGAACATTGGGAGTGGATTGCCGAACATGATGGCGAATACATAATTGATTAATAAAAGCGCTTTCTTCAAAAAATTTCAATTTTAGTTTGCACTTGAAATCGGGCACGAACTTATGCACTCATCCAATACAATAAATGCAAAAACTTTCTATGTAAAAAAAAATAAATAAAAATAAAACGTACTCACAAAAAACTCTAAGGCTTTGCATGAAAATAAGATATAATTTCGAAAAATCATTTTCTGTCAATTTTATGTTGAGTGAAACTATATTTCTTTTTTTTTATCATGATATCCAACCATTCGATCATCGTGACTACAAATGAACATATTTGTATGAATGGCAGATATGCACAACGCACTAAACGTCGCCATTTCGATTTGTTAAAGTATCGGCCGATTAGACTCTCCTTTTTTGGCTGGTTTCTCCGGCTTGAGCAGCAGGACCACCCTACCCGTTTTACACACGTCAGGTATCATCGTGATGCGAGTTAAAGTGGCCCAAAACCAAATGGTTTTCGCCTCTGAGTAGCGCACCTGTATCAGGGCTATATTCAATTGAGCAAGTTGTAGCAGGACCTGACCGGATATCTCTGCCTTGACATTCTAGGGTAGTATCCCTTTGGTCGATGGCCGTCGATAAGACGATACTGCACGGTGTTGTGTAGAATGAACGCTAAGCCCCCAAAATGTTCTCGCTCGCGATCCTTGCGTATCGTCAATGTTCATTATCACTTTCATCGCTTCGTCTTTGTTTAGGTATTCTGTACAAGCAATGCAGACGAAACGTTACGACTTGAGAAAACGCTGAAACTCTGTGCATAGTGGCTTATTTTTGGATTCTATTCATCTATTACGTTGAAGCATCATCAGCAAAATGAGTGACGATATGGAATGACAGAAAATGATGGTGATAGCGCTGACGAGCGTACCGCAACGGCGTCGTCTGACGATACTGTTGAACGGCATATCGTCGTAATGGCGTTACCGTATCGCCATTTTCACAGACGATGAGGATATTCAGCATAATACCTTTTTAAATCCCTTACGATTTTGTAAGGTGTAGTGCACAGAAACAGGTGGAGGACGGTACCGTTAATACGACTTTGCCGATTGGAAGAAGCTGTGGGCAACTTGCTGCAGCTGAACGCACACTATATCCAAAGGGTGTTGTGCAGGGCAACTGTTGAACAAAAAATGTGTTAAGAAAGTGAAACTTAGGACGATTCACCGAATAAGCCGGAAATATAGAATGCATCCAGATACGTCAACCGGATTTGTCTCGCACATAACTTCGCAAATGGCAGCTACCGTAGTCAACCAGTTTGAGCTTGTATAAGAACATTCACCACAATAATTTGCACACAAATTGAAGCAGCTGGCGCAGAAATTTATTATATTAATATTTAATTTATTGAGCTTTCATCGAACAGGATTCAGTCAAAACTAGCCATCAAGTTGTATAACACGGGTTTATTTTGGCGCTTATTTTTGAATCCACTCATTTATATTTTATTATTTTTGCTTCTAAGTATTCTCTTAAGTAATTTAATAAAATTGGCAATACATACATATGTGCAATTTGATAATTTAATTTAATAATTTTTAATTTATTAATTATACTCAAAATTTATTGTATATCAACAATGACGAAATTTCACTTGGTTTATAGCCGTCCAACGATGGAGATACAAATATGTACTACTAATAGTTCTTTAAAAGGACAAACAGTGACGAAATAAGAAAATTAGTTTGAAATTCTTTTTTCTGTGTGACTGTATTAACTCAATATTATTATATACACGTATATCAATCATTTGATAAAATTAACTGTTTTTCATACTTGCTATTTTTTACTGGCTGAAATTTTCCCAGCACGAATTTGCAACCGAACGTCAAAATTGCGCATGGGTGGATTAAGTAACGTGTTTGTCTATCGCTTCTTTTTGTAATTGCATGGTTCGAATCAAAATTAATTTGCCATCAACTGTTCGTGAAAAGTATAAAAACTATAAAGGGTTAGCCTAACATAAAAATAGTTGCATACATATTTACAAGTTCTAATATGTTCCTTAGTTATTTTGTTTATCTTAGCCTACCTGGGCGGTTGTGCACACTCCGTTTTGATTATCTTCAAATAAGATTGTATGTATGTAAGCAAGTCCTTGAAAATATTTCTAATCTTTAAAATATGATCTCAAAATATAACAAAATATTAACTTTTTAGAGAAAGCTTAAACTCAAATTCCAAACCCACAAAATTATTATTATATTGTTGCCAACAGAACCTGGATTGAGTTTTCTGCAAAGTCTTTGAATGCTGCATTCTTCTTCAATATTTTTTGAATATTTGCTCAAAAAATTGTTATCGAATATTGTATTAAAACATGTCAAGTACTTAAGCTTTTTGTTCAAAAACTGGGTTGAGTTTTTTATTATTTTTATTATTTATTCAAACTTAGCAGAGTATTTGTAAAGGCAGTAAGTAAGCTAAAGTTTGCTTTCACCATATTCTAAAACCGGTTTTGGTTAACTTCGAAAATAGAAAGATCAAGTCGGTTTCATAACACCATTTCAAACAGATATTGATTTTCAATTCCAATAAATAAACAATTCTGTGTAGATTTCCATAAATCCCCGGGATAATTAAAAAAAATTACAAATTACTTAGATTCGAACTTTTGAGCGTTATTTCTTCGTTTGAAATATTGCTCGAATTCGGGTATCTTCTTTTTCAACGATTCGCTTATAAGAACTCAAATCATTTCGTCCGAAGAATGATGAAAAAGCTAAATATTTTCAATTTTTTTTTTGTTGTAAAAGCATTATTTATTGTCCCTGGCCAATTTACGCTATAACATAATCCCTACATAATCTCGTTTAAAAATAAGATTTTTAATGAAAATATTTTAATATTAACAAAATAAGAAAAGTTTTTTATTCCTAAAAATATGTGTTCATGTATTACGGAAAGATAAAATATTTGCATTTTTTACTCTCTATTGTAGATGGGCATAAGCCTACCGATGCTTATTGCCAATAGTACATCATTAGATACCTGGAATACCGTTGGCCAATATTCCCCACCCATAAGCAGTGATCGACACCAGTTACGTGTTCCTTTACCTTTCTCTGGCCCGCACAGTGAAATTAACGTAGCGAGTAGTGCAACACGCAGCCTTTTTGGTGGTAGTAGTAACAGCGATATGACCGCCAGCCCTCAAAAACCTATGGAAACATCTGATGTTGAAGAGAAAGACGAAATGTTGACGAAACATGAACGCTCAACGCCGTCCAGTATACACAACGTAAGTGGAAGTTGCGACGGCGAACCACAAGGTAATGCAGCTGGGAATGTTGTAATGACAAGTAGATGCAGCGGAATTATCGGACATGTAACAGGTATGACGGGGCCTATTATTGACACAATCGAAGGTGGTTCTAGCCCTATTCCAAATACAAATAACACAGAAGCACACGAGAAACGCCGCCGTACTACACGGGATCACGATGATTTGGACATAAAACGGGAATTAGTGGATTACTTTCATCCGCCTCAACCCCCAGCACCGCCTGACTCTCATCGATCATATAGTTCCACAGAGGAGAATCGACTTAGTGGTGTTGATGCTGATGATTTTGCTCAAGACTTGCGCGTTAGCGCCGCTGCTGCTGCTGCCGCTAAGAGTTTAGACTTTAGTCAATTTGTGTTACCGAGGAGTCTTCGCCACTCTACCGAATCGATTGACGAGAAATTTGCTCCACTTAATATGCGGAAATTTAATTCTACTTCGACGTCGGCGACAACCGCTGGTCAAATGCTAATGAATTCGTTATTATCTAATGAAAGCTTATCGGAGGAAACTAGCTCAAATGGGCGCTTAAAAAACTCATCCCAGGAGACAGCATCTACATCTGCAGCAGCTGCCGCAGCTGCAATTTACGCTGAAAGCCTAAACAAAGACGACTGCGATTTTATAGGTTCCAATGTTACGCTGAAACTTCGATCGATGGACCGTACCCAAAGAATCATAGCGGAGAAATTGATAAGCGAAGTACTTTTCTATGGTCAATTCAATGAGCTTGAACGAAGCGCTCATATCCAACCTAAGTGAACGCTGCAGTCAGAGCTCAGTAAAGGTTTCTAAATGCAACAAAGCACACACAAATACAGATAGATGAGAAGTATTTCATGTAACTTTCCTAGTATGAGCCAACAGTAGTAATTTTCAAATAAAACCAAAATAAGAAAAAAGTGGCGGCTTTTGGCTTAAGACTCACTTATTTCAATACTCGAATAATTTGCAACATATGTATAAATGAATTTTAAAATCATTAATTTCAATGTTATTCTGTAAAGTACAAAGTCAAACATAATTTTTTATACCCTTGCACTAAATTCATCTACTTTTTTACTTAATATCCCTATAACTAAATATTCAATATTCACTCGAAACCAATGCTGCATCGTAACGAAGAAATTGACGTTAATAAAAAAATGTCTATCGTTTCGGTTGAAATATTAACGCATATGTTAAACATTAAAAATGAAGTGTGCTGTTGAATCATAGCAAGCAGCCATTTTCAAATTAACGCCAACGAGGAGTTTGTGTGGTTTCAACGTTAAAGATTTATTACGTTTTGATGACATGGTGCCAAAACGAAACCATTTCATTGTCAGCGAAACAAAATGTTATAGTTGCATTTGTTGAGCATCTCAGTTCTAAACTATTCCTACAATGATATTCTCATAAACTTTTTCACATTAGGGGATTAAATAAACCGGTACATTTTGAGTTAATGAAGCCATCAACTTTAAATTTAAAACCTATTTTTCAAGGATTTAGTGAATTTTACTCAACCGATATTGATTTCAGCAAGCATTCAACACTAAATGGTTGCTAATAAATTCATTTTGAAACTTGTTTTAATTTCCATGATGAGTAAAAATTCGTTGAACAACAGCTTAATATTGGAATAGCGTTCAAGCATATACATATATATGTATGTGTGGGTATGTGTACAATGTTTATAGGAAATAGCTGTAAAAGTAATACGCTTTAGTTATCTATTTATGTAAATAACTATCCAGCAAACCGAAAACAAATCAACTTTAATTATAGAAGTTTGATATATTATAATAAAATGTGTTTATGACTTTGTAGTTAAAAGGACAAAAAGCAACCTTACTAAGCTTGAATAAAATGGTACCGCTGTGTCCAGAATACTTCAATAGCGCTAGCGCTTACAATTACATTGGAAATGTATATACATACATAAAGAATACCAATAACTAAGCTATACATTTTCTAAAAGGAATTTTTATAAGCAATTTTTGCATATAAGTACGGGTTTCCTATTATATTTTGTTTTTAAAACCTTAAGGAAGCAAAGAAGACTAACCGTTAAAAATTTCTAGTCATTTAAACTTTCAACGAGAGTGTCAACCCATTAGGCAGTTAAACGAAACTTTTTTTACTACAAAGTATGTCGACATTTGAAGTAATAAATCCGAGCATTTATGTACTCTCTACTATATTCACGTGAGAATATCCAGTTACATTGAACACAGTCAACGAAAAGGAGCAGAATCTATTGAAATGAATTCAAAGAATTATGTACCTCGCTTATTTGTCAGTCGTCTTTTAATTATACGAGTTTATCTTTACCTTAAACAAATATTATATATACATGTAATTATAATTAAGGATACCACAATGGTCAAAAATTCATATACATATACACAATTAAAAGAATTGACTTTTTTGATAATTATGGTTTTGTATGTGCGTTTATGTTTTTTTTTAATAAGTATATATTTTTTAGAGAATATACACTACGATAAACAACTTTTACAATAAAATTGCAAATATTTCAAAGCCGGAGATATAAAACTATATACAGTCACATACACGGTCAGACACATGTAAATTTGTATATACCAAACCGTATGCTGGCGTTTATGTGTGGCTATATTTTAGTGCTATAATACGTACAAAAAACTCAAGAATAAACTATTCGTAAATGTATGTAATCGCGTGAACGTTGTTGTGCATTTACATAATACAAAACTAGTGTTATGATCAATATACATATGTATGTTACAAAAAGAATAAGCTGTTTGCTGTGTACAAGAGATATTTAAATTTAAAATTGATAAATTGTGAACATTTTCGGACAAAATGAATTATCTGATATGCATGTATGTTGCTACGGATGTTGTAGCAGAAAAGACGCTGAATCCTTTGTTCCATATCCATGAATGTAGGTACATATGTATATTCGGAATTCATGAATGAAATGCATAAATGTCTACAAATATATATAAATATATTTATGTATGTACGAGTATATCAATTTTTGTGAAATAATTTTGCATTGACGGTAAAGTAAGAGTAAAACTGTAAAAATTGTAAAAATTAAAAAACTAATTATATTGTACCTTATTTACATTAATACATAAATATTATTTGTAAGTTTTTAGATTTATTTGAAATATATGTAATACGTAAGTATTAGTTAGAAAGATTTTTAGATATAAATATTTAGGTTTTGCAAAACTTATTATAACTAAATAAAACAAAAAAGGATTAAATAATTGTGTACTCAATTTCGTTTATTTCAAAAAAAATAAATGGTTTCTTTTTTTTTTTTTAAAGGATGTCGCCTGCATGATACGATAAACAAACTTCAATTTTTAGGCTTTTTTTTAGCACGCTACCGGTAAAAAAACTGGTATTACAATAGAAAACTGGTGGTGAAATACTCGTTAAGGTGGAAAGCAAAACAAAACGAAACTTTATACCGAGGTAATTATACCTTTCATGGCCATGCCAAATTCATAGTATTCAATTTAGGAATCGAGAATTAGTTCTCATATCTTGAAAATTCGATGATATTCGGTGCCAACCTGTGTAGAACACGAAATTTCACGCTTTCAGATGAAACGGAATTTTGAATTTTCCAAAGGAATAGAGACGGCTTGACTTTGCAATACTGTTGGACTGGTCGGGTATTGTTTTGGCGATTTCAACTCAAACCGGTTGAATAACTTAAACTTGCAACTTGTTGCTTATCTTGCTTTATTGTTTTTCCGGGTATTCGTTGAAATAAGTAAAGTTCTTTTGCAGGTCGCGTGTAAAAGAAAAGACCTATTGTTTAATGCGCACCTAAATGTTTGGTTCAGAGCCGTGCAAGTAAATATTTTAATGCTAACTTAGTCGATCACCAACAAACAAAAGAATAGACTTTCAGGCCACAAAAGCTATATTTGCAAAAACACCTACCGAAAAAGCTTTAATGCCAAAAGATATTTTTTCTTCTTTAACTTTTATCTACCTTTTTTTTATTTGGAGTGAGCACGCTTATGGTGCGCTGTTGGTATATGGTGTGGTTTAGCGTCTTGATGTGGAAAACATTCTTTAATTCTTTAGATTTAGTGTTGAATTATGCCAATATCGTGGCAGCATACAGCTTATTGCTCCATTGTATATGGTATTCACTATTGCCTATACGCAAAGGACCATAAATCTTCGAAAAATCTTTCTCTCGAAGACTCCCTAAGCGACTCTTCGGGTGTTTTTAACGTCCCCTCTTCTCTGCACCACACAACAGGGCGGGAATGATGAGCATCTTGTAGAGTTTGGTCTTTCTTTGTCGAGAGACGACTTTACTTTTCAAAGGCTTACTCAACCAAAAGTAGCAGTTGTTGGCATGAATGACTCTGCGTTGAATTTCCAGCCTGATAATAGAATTATAATTTAACTTCTTTAGTGATATTTTCAACTAAAATTTTTAATTACTAAATTCTTTAAAGCTTGATATTAAATCCTTCCAAATCATCCATAATAAGGCGTGGTTGAACACTCATCAGAGCTTGGCCATTAAGACGACTTTCTGCCATTGTACTTCGCAGCCAAGTCTTTATACATCTCAAGGAGCACCTAGTGTGAAATTTAAAAAAAATCCGTATTTTTTTATTTTTCGGTACATTCACCTTTAAAAATAACATATTAAAATTTCAAATCGACATCTCAAATAGTTTTTGAGTTATAGCAATTCAAAGAGCAGCCGCTCGGCAGCTAGAGAGTCTCATTAGCTACGAGTGAAAACGATCATTTCATCTTTAAACGCGTTTTTCTCGAAACAGCATTTTCCGAATTTGCTGCAGTGATTACTTCGACACGATTCCTCGGATCGCAAAGTTGCGAATTTTGTCGCTTGCGCTAACGATTATGCGAGTTTCTAACTCAGTTGTTACGATAATCGACATCGCACATTTCCATTTTATTAAAATGCAGGAAAGGTGGCACGACAACTTAACGAAGCTTATTAAAACCATATTATGGTTCGCATTTTCATGCATGACTCTTCGCTCTACAGAGGAGCTCCAAATAAAATAATCGCGCCGCACTCTTGGGTACTTGGCATTTGCCATTATAATCTTGCGACCACACATCTACATATGTGAAAATATAATTAACTTTGTTACTACAATAGTAATTGAAAACAAACTTACTCTCACCATTTGCACATTGATGGAATGGTATCCATTGTGGTTTACATACGCTTCTTCATGATTTTTGGGACTGGAGTGCAATCGATAGCTCCAACAGTGCCTCCAACAAATGCTGACGATGACGAAGGAAAAATTTCCTTTGCACGTTCTATTTGCGTCATTGGAAATCCAACAGAAAACATCGAATGGTTGATTGCGTCTGTTACGCGATGAATACAACGGCTTACTGACGACTGACTCATGGATATCCCCCATTGATCTCCGACGGGACGTTGATAGCATCCAGCTGCAAAAAATCGCAAGACGGTTAGAACCTTTAAACATTTTAATAGTGTTAAGACTAAAAAAAATATTGAAAAAATATATTATTACTTGTTTTTCCGTAGAGAATGCTGTTATTCTTTTTCCTTTTAGTAAACAATCTAGTTGAGAAACGATTTCTTCAACTAAATCCGGCGTTAATCTATATAGCTGCCGAAACTCCGTAGCATCCAAATGAAAAGGATCTTCCGCTTCTCGACGCAAACTTCTATCCAATGATGAAGGGTAGGATCCCTCTTCATCTTGTGATAAATCGTATGCCAAAAGCCATTATTTTATTATTTTATTTTTATTTTTGTATAACTTAGGCAATTTCCTGGACACTTTACTATCTTAAATGAAATAACAATATTTTGTCGATATCGCTAACAACTTAAAAATATTCGTCTGTAGTTAGCGATTTGTCGAGAAATTTCCGACAGCAGCGAGAGCGAATGTCGTTAAAATAAGTACACTGAATGTTAAAATCGTTAGAATTATCGCTAAGTCTTCTTTGCGATCCGAAAATCGCTATACTATTCTTAGAGAATAGCGAATATCGTTAAAAATGTCGCTAAACCTTCTTTGTGATCCGAAAATCGTTATACTATTGTTGCGAAAATGCGAGGCGAAAGTCAGATGAAAGAGAGATAGAGAAACGATAACTAGTACATTCCATAACGATAAAACGAGAACCTTCCATAGCGAACAACTCGATTATTCTACACTTTCGTTTACGAGCAGCCGACTGCTATATAAGGGCGACACTCAGCTGCCAAGTTAAATTAGTTAAAAAGCGAACTCGTTGGCGACAACATCAGTATAGAGTCGTAAAGGAAACGCGTTGGAGATTGCTTTTAAGTAAAGTAAATTGTGAAAGTTTATGCAAGTGATTGTAGCTAGTTAAGTGCATTGTAATTGAATTGTGAATTACTGAGTAAAAAAATTAGATAAATTCCTTATAACGAAAGAAACTGCAAATTAAGTTGGCGATTTTATTTAACAATCCAGAGATCGTACCCGAAGGATTCAGAAAATCATCGAGGTTGATTCAGCAAAATCGTAACAATTGGTGTCAGAAGTGGGATAGTTAAATAAATCCCAAAGGATAATATTTGCAAAATGGTAAAGATTCAGGATTTGACGATACCTCCTCTCAAGAGGGAGTTGGCAAAGCGAGGATTATCGACAACTAGAAATAAGGCAGAGCTGCAATCGAGAAGTAAGATCAAAGAAAAGGCTCCTGGCTCATCTAAGGGTATTGGCATGATAATGTTATTGACTGCGATCTCACAAAATACATATGTCTGAAATGAGAGCCAGCATCTCACAAAAGATGGATGCACAAATGGTTGAACAGAGGGAGCAGATATCATCCTTGGAAGGAACAATAGCGCAAATACAGCAAAATCTGGTGAGGAACAATGCGGAACTTAAGGAAAGGCAAGATCTAGTTGAGACCAAAGTCAACGCATTGGAAAGTCGTTTTCGGGAATTGCAGCTAAATCGTCCAACCGCTTCAGTGAACGTTCCGAAGGTAAATACAACGAAAAATCCGCTGCACTATTCGTTGCGTTGGAAGGACCTGCAGCCGAACATTTGCAAACTATATCCGTAAACGAGAGAAATGATTACGACGGATTGATGCAAACCCTGGAAAGACGCTATTGTAGCGAACACAGAAGACAGATTTACCAGATGGAGTTAGAAAAGCACGACCAAAAATCTAACGAATCTCTGCAGGAATATGCTTCGGAAGTTGAGAGCTTGGCTCATTTAGCTATTGGAGACATATCGGGTGAGCATCTTGAAAGGGTGAAAATACAAAGATTCATTAGCAGAATAAAAGACGTGTACACCAATCGAGAGACATATGCGAATCCAAAGTCGACATTCGCTGAAACTGTTGCATATGCACAAACATGTGAAACGGCGGCACTCATAAGCAGACCATCATACAAAGTCAATAAAGTGGAGGTTGAAACACACGATGTGATGACGGAAATATTGAGAATTTTGAATTCGCTAGGAGAGATGAATCGTTCTGGTTTTAAGACTCACGCGGGAAAATGCTTTAAATGTGGAAACCCTGGTCACTTCGCACGCGAATGCAAAACAAGTTCCAGCAGACAGGAGGTACAGCGGAAACGGAAAGCAGAGGAAGATGAACCATCAACTTCTCAAAGTTATGACATCACAATCGAGCACCGCAAGGGGAATACGCACGGAAATGCTGACGCTTAGTCCCGTCGACCATGTAATATATAAGGTAAACATTGCTCAAAAGATGAGAGTAAAGAAGACATAATAGACGTCCGGCAAATGAAAGTTACACAAGCAGAAGAAAGGGAGGCAAGTAACTTAAGGAAATGCCAGCAAGAAGATCCAGATTTAGAATTATTAATGCACGGGTTGGAGGTAAATAGACGACTAAGTAAGGAACAAATGGCTGCGGAAAGTCCTATCGCGAAGGCATACTAGGCACAACGGAAAAGTTAGAGCTGATATCCGGCTGTTTGTATAGAGTGTGGGAAAATGAAGATGGCCAGTGTTCCCGGAAGCTAATAGTAGTTCCGAAGTTAAGAATTCCGGTTGTTCTTAAAGAACTCCATAACGGTTCTGGTGGAGGGCACCTACGCATTACAAAAACGCTGGAAAAGATCAAGCAGCGTTTCTATTGGGTTGGCTGTCGGCAATCGGTCTCGGAGTGGATTGCTAATTGCACGGAGTGCATAGCAGCTAAAGGCCCAAAGTCCCGAAGTCATGGGCAGATGAAGCAGTATAACGCAGGGGCATCATTCCAGCGGGTTGCTATGGATGTAGCCGGTCAATTCCCTATGAGCAAACAAGGAAACAAATACGCTCTTGTGGTTATGGACTACTTCAGTAAATGGCCTCAAGTTTACCCAATCCCAAACCAGTAAGCAAAAACAGTTGCGGATGCATTCACTATCACTATCAGATACGGTGCGCCTATAGAATTGCACTCAGATCAGGGAAGAAACTTTGAATCGGCGGTGTTCCAGGAGATATGCCAAATACTTGGTATTCGAAAAACCCGAACGACAGCCCTACATCCTCAATCAGATGGTATGGTAGAGCGATTCAACCGGACCCTGGAAGAGCACTTGCGGAAAGTAGTGGACAAGCATCAGGATGATTGGGATGTGCACATACCGCTTTTCCTGATGGGATATCGATCCGCCGTGCATGTAACTACAGGGCGAACACCTGCGAGGATACTGTTTGGTAGTGAACGAGGTACATGCTCTTGTGAGACAGCGAACTCAAATTATGAGTGACAAAATGAAGGCCAGGTATGACAAGGCTATGAACTCCGAAGGTTTCCAAAATGGAGATTTAGTGTTGCTGTACAATCCACAACGGAAGAGGGGTTTGTCACCAAAACTTCAATGTAATTGGGAAGGCCCATACAAGATAATCAAACTACTAAACGACGTAGTGCATCGAATCCAAACCGTTGGGAGTCAGTATAGAGTATAGTGAAATAAACTATTCGTTGCGTTGAAGTAAAGTAAGTTGTGAAAGTTTTATACAAATGTTTGTAACTAGTAAAGTGCATTGTAAATGAATTGTGTATTACTGAGTAAATAAAGGACATTAAATAAATTCTTTATATCGAAAGAAACTGCAATTAAGTTGGCGATTTTTTATTTAACAATCCAGAGATCGTACCCAAAGGATTCAGAAAATCATCGAGGCTGTGCTTTCCCTTATGGTTCCAATGCTTGTTTCAGCCAAACTAATTGACCAATCCTAATGAAATTTGCAGGAGTTGCCGCTGTTGATTTAAGCTATGATTATTTATTATTCTTTGCACATAAATGATGCTAAATTATAAATAATTTGATGTTAAAAAGTTTGCAGTTTCATCACAAATTTGTACTTAGCACGTGCACTTCTTTAACATATACATATGGTACAAAATTGTAACTTTAATCTGTTCACATGCGATTACAGAGATAGTTGTATTCTTATTTTATTTGCTTGGCAGTAAAATAATATTTCTTTTGTATATTTCGAAATGATTTTCAAGAGAAATGTCCGATAATGGCAATAAGTGTGTTGCCATACGACGTAAAAAAAATATACTCTTGTATAGGGCTGTATGTAAACAATAATATTTTAAAAATACATTTTGTATACTTCATGAAAGGACTAACGTAAAATACTGTTCAAGGCGAAGCCTGTGTTGATCCGCCACAGGGTTACAATCAAAAGCGCGCCCAAAGGCCACCAACTTACTAAGGAGTTTCCCTTTAAAATACTGCGCAAGGCGAAGCCAGTGTTAAAATTATAATCCAGCTGTTTTATTTTATTATTTCGTTTTTAGTGTGGCAACACCAAAATTCAAAGTAAATGTTTTATGTACAAAATAACAGGGTAAAAATCCTATTTAATTGGGTGAACTCCTCTTTATTACGCTAAAAAATATAACCGGTTGAGTTTCCATCAGCTTTACTAGCAACTACAACCGCGCTTTACTCGCTGTTTTTGACCAAAAGAAACCATTAATATGATTACTTGTGAAAACAATTTGTGTTATATTTATTAAATACTTACATTTTTTTATAAAAACTCCCACACAACTTCTATGAAAAAGTTTTCCCATTTTCGAAGTTTGTTTAGAATACGAGGAAAGGGAAAAGAGAAAAATTCAGAAAACTTTTTTTATTTATCGGTGTACTTTTAATTCGTAATAAAATACCGCAAATTGATGTAAAACTCTAAAGAAGATATTTGATAAAGACGTACCGAATGTTCTTTGTTCATTTAACATTGCGAGTGCTGCTGCTGATTTGCCCAAAGAGAATTAGGGAGGTGGAACAAAGGCCAAAAGCCATGAGAATTTGTAATCTATATTATTTAAAAATGTAATGAAAGACTAAACGTATTAAAATAAAATCAACCTTTTTGCATATAAAAATATATAAAACATCAACAGTAAGATATTTGAGTATTATTATATACGTATTGTACATATTAGGGTTCTTCATTTAAACAAATAAAGTGATAAACTGGGTATATTTATCCGTTACAAAAATTTTTTCAAACAAAAATTTCAATAGGAGATAGTTATACCAGTTTTATCAGCCATTTGCCCGTTTAAAAAAAGGCCTCTATTCTTTTTTCAGCATCTGTATAAAAAAAAACTAGTGTGTTCCGACTGATCTACGTTTCTTTGTAAAGTCAAATGGGCAATTATTTAAACGCTGATAATTTTATTTTCCACACATTTTTACGAATTAGCGAAAAACAATAATTTAACAATTTGGTTTCGATTTTATATTTAAGTTCGGGCCATGTACCGTGGTTGTTTGCACTACCGAGAAACATCAGATTTTTAATATTCTTGTGGTAATTAAGAAACGGTCATTTTTTTGTTTCCGGCATTTTTAAAATTCAAATCCGAATGATGCACCTTGTCCTGTTCCACTGCTAAACTGGAAGAAATGTCGGAACATCTGGTTGGGATCAAAGTCTGTAAATAAAAAAAATATTGTCCAATATGTATAATAAAATAAATATTAGTCATATGTGCATAATAGTTTAAAACATGAGTGTGGTGATTATGGTATAAATATTAATATTATACATATTTTATAAGATGCACCCCTATTCAGTATTGTGTCTAAATAATGTGCATTGAAGTCGAAGAGCCCAAAATAAGAAAGTCAGAAAGTACCTCTGGAGGAAGGTAGGCAAAGGACTGCTAAACGTGTATCAGTTCTTGAGGAGTACACAGACGGAGCCAAATAACACCGAATAGCAATCATGCTGTTACCACCGTGGCAGTAATAAATAGCTTGGAATGATCTAAGCATTGTTCTAGCGCAGAAGCCGTTGACCTACAAAGGTGAAGTAAGAAGAATAAAAGGATAGATGTAAATGCGAATAGTATCACATAGATCACCAAAAACAACGACGCTACGATTGTACAGAAACAGATGTTGTATGGTATATACCTCACAGTAAATGGCCCAACGTCAGCAGATGAGATGAACAATAACACAAGAATAAGTACCTATACTGACAGATCCAAACTAGATAAACGAGTGCGGGAGGTGCAGCACCCTATAATTAGATTCAGATAACGACATATATGGCTTTGGCTATTTGCAGATATTATGGCGTTGCACTGGCGTCAAGGTTTCTTTGTTTGCAAACACAATACGGAAATAAATACCGGACGAATTTCGTGACTGGCTTCATTTGTATAAGTATTCATGCTCCGCTGGTATTGTGTTTCTTTGGTAAAACCAAATTTGATGCTATACCTCTGCGTTTAGGATAAACCGAACTTCGAGAGTCATCACTTTTTTGAAAATTGATGTTCTTTTTTTTTGGAAAGGTATGAACAAGAGCTAATTTAAGTTTTTCTGATAAAAAAAAATTAACATTATGTATATCGTGTAGAGTCATAACTGTTATAAAAAATATGTAATAAAAAATTGGGCAGTAACTCTTATATTGTAAAAATAAATTTTTTCACTTTTAAGTAATGACTATTTTATATTTTCACATTTTCACGTTGCCTCTTAATATTGTAGTTATTCTCAACTTAAATTTTTTCCGTTGTCCATTGTAGTGTAGTTCATAATTGATTTCATATACATTTGCATATTGTGTCCACTACGGTTTAATAAAATTAAATTAATTTTAATTAATTTTATTAAATAGGTGTTTGTACGAAAATACAGCACACTTCTCCAATAACTCGAAACCAATCTACAGTGTTGTAGGGTAACTATTACTATCTCATATCCGTACGACAAAGGTTTTGGAAAGCCTTCCTTTGACAAATTGGTTAAAATAAAACGCATGTAAAAAAAACGAAAGCAAACAAAACAAAAACTGAAAAATCAACCATTTTTTAATAAAAATTATGTAGAGCGTTTTAATATTTAAATGTCAAATATTCCGCATTATATTGTTGGTCGTTGGTCGATCTACCAAGAACTGGACTAACACCCGATTGAACGGCATATTTATAGTTCGTTTTTACTCTAAAGAAACAAAGTTTATGCCCTTATTATCTATTGATATCTATGTCCAAATATAATTACATCCGTTAACATTTGAAAATAAGTAAGACTGGTTAGCATTGCGTACTGCCATTCGGAAGGCTCGGGTTCAAATCCAATCCAATCAAATCCAAAAGTTATAGAAAATTAATTTAAATAAATAAATTAAGTTGAATTTTTTTTATTGCGCAGGGAATGTCAACCCCTCCGAGCGTATTGCTCACATGAAATAAAGCTCCTTATAAAAAAAAAAGAATCAGTCGCTTGGAGGCGGCTTAGTATAAACTGTAGGTCCCTCCATTTGTTGGAAAAACATCAAGACGCAAAACCACAAATTAGAAGATGAGCTCGGCGGAAAATCGCTTCAGCGGTTACAAGGCGCCAATTATATATAATATATATATATATACACATGAATATAAACTTACCAAAAAATACATCAAATATAAAAAAATACGAGCAAATAAATAAAAATTTAAATAATCAGAAAAAATTATATGTAAACAAACTCAATTAGCCAATAGGGAAAGAGTATGTGCTGTCTATCAAATGTTTTCTATTTTTACTATTGTTTAAAATATTTATATTAAGAAAAATCGTGCGCTTTTTCACAAAGAAGCATTATGGTTTTCTGATAAGGGAGCCGACCTGCCAAGAGGGAGCGAGAAAACTGTTTACTTATCCAACGAATGATTAAATAATATACAGGTGATGTAACAATTGTCCCTCTCCCACACGCTGTATTTGCAAGAGATGTTGTTTTTATAGAATTATATTGCCATATTTAAATACAAATCTTACAAAAATTACGTTGTTAATTATAATGTAAATTTTTATAATATAAACTTACAATATTTCTTCTTGGTTCATAATTGGTCAGTGTCGCGTCTATACGCAAAGGAGCAATTTCAAAAACCTGCAGTCCCCGCCGGGAAGTGCTCTATTCATACCCGTGTAACACATACATACATATATGTCGTGGATCTGTACAACATTTTTATATAGAAAGATATTGAAAGAATAGACCCTAATTAAGATTTAAGAAAAAATATAAATTCTTGTGTTAATAAGGCAAAACAAGTTTGCTAAGGACTCCAATTACCCATAAATTACCATATTAAACCCAATTATATGGAATCAGACTATCAAGCAAGTATAACCGCGACTTTCCATGATCGATCTCAGATACACGGTAGCCCAGACCCAGTGACAGTCTAACTTATTTTAATTGAGGTCGTCATTCGGCAGTGAATATCACGCCTTATAATTAGGATTTTGACATGAGGCTTCTCATAAAAGTACGTCAGCCGTTTCGAGGTAGCACGTCTTATATAGGTGGAGCTCGACTGAAGAACACTTCAGCAGTTATATATTAAAGCGCCAATTATATAATTAATGTGGAATAAATAGCATAACTGCACTGATTTATACAAGTTCATAGTTTATTTATTTAATTTAAGTATCAGTTTAATATAGTTTCTTAAAAAATGTACAAATTAGCTCATTTTAGTCCAATTCATTTTAATATAATACAAAAAATCACTTTAGCGTCTTGGCGGTCGCTCTTCACACCTGCAACTGACTTCTCTTTCAAAATATGATAGACGCTTTCGTTGCTCGTTTGTCAAAAAACTGCAGCCTGATACTTTCTATCATCTTTCTTCTAATACTACTCATATTTTATTACAATTCGCATACATACATATGTATATATTTTTCAAAAAGTTATTTATTTTCAATATTTATATAAATCCCCCTGAAATTCCTTATTATTGTTTCTTTCTTCCCCTTTTTCTTCAAATTTGAAAATACAACGTTGAGCTAAGGCAGGGCCAAAGTCTCTTTCTACTATTCTTGCTTCAAATGTTTATTATTGCATCATGATCCGACCTTTAATTATTGAAACGGAATTTATAGAAGGGGAAGTTGTCATAACATATGATTGCTTGTTCTTCCTATTCTATTCAACAAATTACACCAGCAAAATAAATGAGAAATAGGTTTTGACATTACGAACCTTTTATTACACCAACAAAATACATTGAACGAATTTCGTTTTTCACTGACAAAATACATATGTAGGCTTTTTGTTTGCTTGCCTTGTATTCAATCATAATTTCGTATATTTTTTATAAAAAAATACTAAGCCGCCTGAAAATACTTTTATTTCGATGAGATTTGAGAAAATACAATACAAAGCCTTGAATTTTTTTGTTAGAACGTTGTATTTTTCTTTATTGTTTTGTTTACACTTAAAGGTATTGCATTTTTTGGTATATTATTTACTTTTTTACGGAATGCTAGATAATTCTTGAAGAACATGTATAATTGTTTCGACCCTACTTCGGATGGGGACTTTGTAAGCTAAAAGACTCAGACACAATACATGAAATATACATACAGTCAGATAAATTCGTATTCATACACACCAGAATTTTTATTTAAATGTAGTTTTATACTAAAGTTTAAGATTAAAACACAAATTCGGATACAAAATTGTATTAAACTAGCGAAATTCATTAATTTGTGTATAAAAAATAGTACTATTCCATTAAAAACAAATATTAAGCAAAAGTATAACCAACCAACGCAAATAAAAAAGGCAGCGAAATGAATGCAGAAATGTATAGTGAATGTATATGTAGTGATAAAAGTACTTAAGGATCCGCTAATTTCAGCACCAAACTTAGTTAAAATGTTATATGATTACGAAGGAGTATCTGTAACAGCGCAATACGTACGTAACACTCTCCGAAAACCAAAAATTAGAAGTAGATCTGTTGCAAGAAATCCTTATATAAGCGCAACGAACAGAATAAAGCATTTAACATATGAAGATATCAATACAGTGATTGAGCGGTTAAAATATGGCGCAAGAAGAACAAACGCCTTCATCCCACAAATCTTCTGCCCACATTTAGGCAAAGTGGAAGTTCCGTCATGTTCTGAGAGTGATTCGCTGCAGCAGGAATTGGAAACCTAGTCCCCATCAACGGAATTATGAATCCTATGAAATACATTGATATTTTAAAAAATAATTTGAATTCAAGTGCAGATAAGCTTTGATTACGGAGCCGTTATCTATTTCAACAAGATAATGACCATAAACATACAGCCATTTTACTTAAAAACACCACGGCAAAGCCCAGATATAAACCATAGAGAATTTATGGTCTATCGTTAATAGCCTATTTCCACCGGAGCTTAAATGCATTTTAGCTAAAATGTATTTAAACATCGCATTTAAATGCGGTAATTCCCATGTGTTTGTTGTTGTTTCAAAGTGAGCTAACTCACTTTCGGCAATTTAACAGAAAATGTTATGTTAACATTCGATGCTGTCACTAATAATGTAATCATTTCGGAAGTTTCGGTGTACTTCCTGCCAGAGTCGTGTATTTTCGGATTTAATGAGGGGCGCGATTTTTATTTTGCATGGTGAAATTTTTTGTATAAAAATTCCTTTTTTGCATTAGTTTTAACATAAATGCCTATATTAAGTAATTGGCGAAGATAATGCTTCTCCGCCTTCAAAAAAAACTATAAGAAACAAACAAAAAACAATTGTGAAATATCAAACGATCCCCTCAACATAAAAATATACGTGGCTCTGGTAACTATCAGCTGATTGCGCAAAATAAATAATTTGAGGGAACAAACAAACATATATAAAAATGGAAACATGCATAAAAGCATATTCGTTTCAGCAACGTTTGTCCGTGCAGAAATAATCTGCACTTGCAAGTTTCAAGATTGCAGAAATAGCCAAATAAAATGAATGCGGTCTCTTGAATTCATGATTTCTATAGTTGTGGCAAATTTTGTAAACTGCAAATGTAAACAAAAATCAGCTGAGTTAACTCACTTTCGGTGGAAACGTTTGACATTTCATTTGCTTAACAGAGGCCTTAAATGCATTTAAGTGCTTGGTGGAAATAGGCTATAAGAAAGGGTTGAAAAACTACAATATTAGGAACGAGAAACAATTGAAGGATGCATTGTAAAAGTGATGGAAAAATATATCACCAAAACTTGCAAACAAAGTTACGACGATTCTTAAACAAAGAGGTTATCCAACTAAATACTAATTTTAACACCGTTAGTTGTAGATTTTTATTTTTTGCTACTATTTGAGGTTGTATGAATACGAATTTAGCGTTGACTGATTATACTTTTGCTTAAGATTTGTAGTTTTCCTTGAAATATTACTTATTTTTATACACAAATTAATAAGTTTTGCGAATGAATTTGTATCCGAATTCGAGTTTGAATCTTAAACTTTAGAAGAAAAATAACATTTTAAGTAAAAATACTGGAGTGTATCCTTTAAGTTCTTGTAACGCAGTGCAGACAGTTGTACTTTATATAATTGATTATAATTATTATTTATTCAATGGTAACATTGGAATATTAAATTACATTTAACCATAGTACAAACGTAATATCTTTTAAAAAAAACGAACGAATCCAGAACGATGTTGATACTTCATTTTGTGAAGCTTGGCGAAATAATCTAATTTCCCTTTCTATGTACATACTAAACACAAAAGAATACTCCGACAAGAATCCCATACAGGAATGAATTGGGGAAAACAAACGCCCACGATCAAAAAGTTACAGGCTGCTCAAAACTCGATGAAAATGCTGGCTCTCAATAATGAGACTAGCACTGGTGCACCTTCCAAGCAGATTTTTCGCAATCATGGAAACCGTCGAGCATATGCTCAAATCTACTGTAGCAGGAACATCAGCTACGATAAATTCTGCTAGTTGAGCCACAGAGGAAGATTCTCTAGAACACTTCAGCGTAAACTAGCAATGTGCACTAAATGATTCGAACATTTGAGAAAGTGAAGATAAGAGCCTCTTAATGGGCATATTGGCCTTAGTTCGTTGGTCACTGATTAATAGCCGCATCAATTTACTCAATCAAAATCGGAACACATTCTTTAATTTGGAAAAAGTCACAAATCTTATTTGAAAATTTTCAGCTATATAATAGGTTTGTTTATTGAGACTGAAAAGAGAATAGAGCAGCTCAAGTTCGAGCAGAACAGAGCAGCTGCCACAAAAAACAATAGAGCATAGAGTTAGAGTAACCCGGAGCAAAAAGCTCATGAAACATTTTTCGGGCAACAATTTTCAAATGCGAATGTTTGACTTTTCTCTAGTAAGCAAAATAGAAAAATTTTACGATTTTTTCATATACTGTGATGAACACTGCATTGGCACAGCAAGATAGTTCAACTTCTGTTGGGTGAAAATTAGAGCTTTTTTTCATTTATAATTAGTATTATTTTAATATAAAAGATAACAAAATGAATCGAAGTGCAAATAGTTGAAAATGTGTCCCTCTGTCTAGCTTTTTTTTTTCGGAACTAAATATATTTTCAGAAGTTGTCAAAAAAAAGGTGTTAAAGTTGAACTATCTTGCTGTGCCAATACTTTAGTTCATCACTGTATTTCTGGTTTGCTTTGCCCCGTGAACATCCCTTTCTAATATTTTACCCGCTTTCGTTTTCTAAACGCGTCTGTAAAAAAAATCTTATTGTTTGCTCCAAGTCTACCAAAAAAGTCAGAGCAGAAAATCGTGATCTGGTTTGCTCTATTTCTGCTTAGAGCAGACTTATGAAACAAAAGATATAGCAAACAAGAGCAAGAAAGTTTTCTTGAAACACAATTTTTTGAAATAGAACCTAGTGCAGCTCAATAAGCCAATCTGATTAGAAATTCAATATAAAAATAACAATCAAAATGTAAGCAAACATGAAAAACATAAACAAACATTTAGATTGTCTTTACACTGAAGCGAATTTATTGAATGAAAAAAGTTTAATTCGCTGCCCTAATAACTCAACCTTGTTAAATTCGCCTTGGGTATTTTTCATTTTATTTATTCGCACCTTACATTTAAATTTTTACACAAAAGATTTAAAACTATTATTTATCTTACTCTATCACTGTACTGGGGATAATCTCTTTTAAATCATTTTAATTCAGATGTGTCTGATGGGGTACTACACTAGAACTGAGATAGTTTTCATGAATTTACTTTAAATTAAAAAAATTGTGATATTTAATTAAATTATCCACTAATGTTAACTGAAGGCTATCAATGAGATGGAATCAATCAGAATTATTTATTTATAAAAATATATATTCTTCCCACATTAGCACGATCATATGTATGTATATATTTAAATTTTATGTCCATTTGAGTTCATACTTTAAATGGAATTTTTAGTAATGCTGCAACTACCTCTCAGCCGTACCAACCTATCCTTTTTTAAATGAATATTAAATAAACTAAGAAAATACGCAGTTTTTCAAAAAGGATTAAAGCTGAATTCGTAATTAATTATTAATTGTCATATAGATCATGTATGTACATACGATTGGCGTTTATATTTGAACATATTGTTGCGAAAATGCGAGGCGAATGTCAGATGAAAGAGAGAAGCCGATAACTAGTACATTCTAGAAACGATAAAACGAGAACCTTCGATAGCGAACAACTCGAGTATTCTACACTTTCGTCTACGAGCAGCCGACTGAACAAAGTGAACTCGTTGGCGTTAGCATCAGTAAAGTCGTAAAGTAAACGCGCTGGGGATTGCATTTAAGTAGAGTAAATTGTGAAAGTTTATGCAAATGATTGTAGCTAGTAAAGTGCATTGTAATTGAATTGTGAATTACTGAATAAATAAAGGACATTAGATAAATTCCTTATAACGAAGGAAACTGTAAATTAAGTTGGCGAGTTTTATTTAACAATCCAGAGATCGTACCCGAAGGATTCAGAAAATAATCGAGGTTGATTTAGCAAAATCGTAACAATATAAATAATGAAATTCGTTGACGAAAATGATTTTTGATCAGGAAAAAGATAACATTTGATAGAATCTCAGACATAATCATTACCTTTGTAGGGAAATCCAAAGATGAGAGATAATTATTTCTTTATATCACGATCTCTGGTTAAACCATTAAGAAAAGTATAGTGTAGAGATATGCATACACATTAAAAATGATTTTAAAAATCTTCCTTATTTTTGTTATTAGAGCGGATCGGAGAATTGCTTTTTCGATAATATTTGAAAGGTGACGTTTTTCTATCATTTCATTACAATTCAATTAATATTTATTACATAAAATATATGTACTTATACTTCAGCCGAAATGATATCTTTCTAGTTTTTTAGATAATTATTACTAAAAATATGTGCATAAATACTGTGGTTATATTTTAAGTGCAATCAATATTGAAATCCAAAAACTTTAAAATCATAAATGAGTTATGATTAATGCCTACCTTGCTCCTGATCTTCTATATCTTGGCCGCTATCATAGCGCATTTTTTTGCGTTGGTCAGATAAAATCGCATAGGCCTCACCAATTTCCTTGAATTTCAATTCTTCTTCTTTGCGCTCTTCGGCACTGCTGTTCGCATGCCGGTCCGGATGATGTACCAAAGCCTTTTTACGGTATGCTTTTTTTATTTCCTCATCCGATGCGCCACGTGATATACCAAGAATTTTATAATAATCTTTGCGCTTAGACTTCTTTAAAGCAAGCTTAGCATCGCGCAATAACTTTTTAATTTCAGGGGTCTTTTGTAACTGCAATGCCGCCTCATAGTCATTTACACATTCATCAAATTTTTCCAGATCATTGTAACAGCGTGCCCGCAAAAGCAAGGCCTTCAAATATTGCGAATTTATTTCCAAAACACGTGTGCAATCGGCAATAGCATCGCGCAAAGAGCCGATTTTGGAATTTACCAAAGCTCGATTGTACAAAAGTTTTGAATTAATGTCCTTATTAAATTCATCTATTTTTAGGGCCTCTGTGTAGACAGTTTGTGCTTCCCGAAAACGTCCCGACTTAAAAAGTGTGTTGCCATTTTCCTTCATTTCTTTCAATGCTTTACTCTTATTTCGCATTTCTTTAGCTTTACTGTGATCGGGGTCAAGTTGCAGGGCTCGTTCAAAATGCAATATCCCTTTTTCAAGATTGTCGGTATAGTAAAGACACAAGCCACGAACGTATATAGCATCAGCAGAGGTGGAATCTAATTTCATTACGCTTACGGCAATGTCAACGGCTTCATCACAGCGTCCCAGAAATGCTAAGCATTCAGCCTTCAGCAAACGATATCTAAAACAAAAATTATATATTGTTTTATGGAATAAAATAATGGTATCATTTCAAAATTTACCTAAGGCAAGCCGGCGCAATAGCCAATGCACTATCCAAATAATACACTACATTCCGATATGCCTTGGAGTCGTAATTTGATTGTATTGTCTTCTCCAGCTGACGCAATTGTTGCAGTCCTTGTTGTTCGGTTTTAACAGCTGAGCTTTGCGAATCTAGTTCCAATATCTTTTTGATAGCCTGTTCGCTACCAACCATATCACCCATTAATAAACAGCATTTTGCAATGCGGACATAAGCCTTATCGAATTTAGGATCAAGTCGTACTGCTTGACGAGCGTCGCTTAAGGCGTTTAAGTAATTCGAAAGCATCATATAACAGGCAGAACGATTTCCGTAGTAAGCAGCAAAGTCGGGACATAATTGAATGGCATCTGAGTAAAGTTTAAGTGCAGCTTGGTAATTTTGTGCTTTGTATTGGTCGTTGCCCAACTTTTTCTTCTCCTCAGCAATACTATTAATTAAAATAATATGTTAGTATGTATAACTATATATACGTTCTGACTAGTTATTAGTCGAAAGTCTTATTTTAAAATTTAAAATTATTAGAAAAATGAACTTTTCTGCTGTTCCGTATTTACTAACAAAATTATTTAATTAGTTTTATTTATCCTGTTCTAAATAATAAGTACCTAGGGTACAATAAATTTAATGACGTAAACGTCTTACATCTTTCTGAACTGCAATAAAATAACCCGACTAGGACATTTAGCAACATCTTGTCTTAACGCAATTACACTGGCCCTTTTATTATCCATACAAGGAAAAATAAATAAACAAAATTACAATATGATGTAAAAATTTTTGAATTTCGAATTAAAGATGCTAAAAACTACGAAAAATTATGACTTCAACAATTATAAAAACATTGTTAACTTCAATTTCAAAATGTTCCCATCAAATGTAAAGTATAAATCGGGCGATAATCGAGCTGCCGTCTGATCGAAGATCGCAGAATATTGAATATATACATTCTCCCACGCCTGCTATTTGTCGCCACTAAGTACATAGTAGTAATACCTTAAGTTGTCATTTCGTACCGCATATTAAACTGTTAATTTTAGTCAAGAAAATTTCCGGTATTAGAATTAATCCACAGATTTCTTTATTTGGTAAGAAAATTTGGAATCACTTTTTATTTTGGCATAAGTATATGTATCTACTGAAGGGCAAGCACAATCTTTAAAAGACTTGAACTTTCTCTTCTTAGGAGCAGAGCATTAGCATGAGCCAAGGCTTACTTCATTTATTTTCAACTTTAAAATCATGTGCTTTGACAATTTTTGTATGTCTGATGGACATATTGAGTGTTCAATGGAGTATATAATTCACTGTGGCCAGTGCGAGCGTATGGACTTGCGATTTAGTTCCACACCCAACGGCTAATTCTGGCAACTCCAAATTCATAGTTTAATGGGTTCAGGCATGATGAAATAATACAGAGGTGAAGAAGGTAGAGCAGAAAGAGACTTTGATACTGCCTTAGCTCCGCGTTATATTTTCGAATATAAAGAAAATGGGGAGGAAAGAAACAAAGATCGGGAATTTCAGGAGGATTTATATAAATATTGAATATAAATATAATAGATAAATAAATTGGCGCTTTATAACTGCTGAAATGTTTTTCAGCCGAGCTCCTCCTCATTTTTATGATGTGCGTCTTTATATTTTCCCAACAAATGTAGACCGCGAATAGAAAAATTTAAGCTAATGTTTTTATTTAGATTTACTATAATATTGGTTGTTGGTCAGGCCAGAATTAAAACCCAATGAAGGCCCTCTTGCCTCTTACACTAAACAGCTAGATCACCATCTGCTATAGATTACATAGAAAAAGGAGAAGGGAATTACTTATTTATTTAAAGTAATTAGTACTTGATGTATAAATAAGGTTTGGAGGAATCAAAGCTGGAGGAATGTTGTACGAACACAATAAAAGAGGTCTAGATGATTTTAAAAGGATATCAACTCTTATCAATTCAGTTTAAAATAATCTTCAAACATCGCTTTGCGATGTGGGAGGCAGATTAATGAGTTGTAAATGACTTTATAAAGAGCAAGAATCTTTTTCGAATCCTAATGTAAGTTGCTTAACATGATAGTAAGAATTGCCTTTATACTCGTACAAATCCCACTTTATCTCCATACAACAAACTTTTAATGAGATCTGAGAGTTATTTTGCCTTATTAACACAAGAGTTTGTATTATTCCTAAAATTTAACTTAAGGTCCATTGTTTCAAAGGTTTATATGGTACATTTAAGAAAGCTAATAAAGTAATTTCCATAAAGTTTGAGCATATATTAAAAAAAGTCAATATTACATAGTTGTTCTAAAGAGAATTGTAAATGTGTGCAAAATATTTTAACGCATTGTACAGCTTCTAGCGAAGATATATTTTTCAGATTCCATTTTTCAAAGTAATTAATCAAGTCGATTTTATAGAAGGTGAAGTTTTCGCATCACATGATTGCTTGTCTTTCTTTCCATTCTAACAAATTACACAAACAAAATCCATGGGAAATAGGTTTTGAAATCACGAACTTTTTTACTCCACCTGTATATTATTTCATCATGGGTTGAAGCGCTTATTTCCAAATAATTACAAGTGGCTAATATCGACAATAAAATATACGAGTACAAAATGGATTGGAGTGCGAAAAATTTCTTTCAACAACAACACACCGGAAAGCGAAGGAAAAACTATCAATGGTCATCGACTCTTTGGTCTGATTGTATTAATTGACAGGTAAGCAAAAATACTAGGCAGCTTATCTTTAAATATATATAAATAAGTTCATATAGCGCACTAATTAAAACCAGTCACAATTAAAAAATCAGAATGTTCTGTAGAGGCAATAAGCAGTTGACGTTGTTCAAGATGAAAACAGGCATAACAATGATTCAAAAGGGAAAGTAGTTTCAGTCATTATAAAATTGGCATTGTTTTTTGAAATTTTAACTTAAAATTAAATTTTCATTTCGCAAAAATCGAAAGTTTATTTTCATAAAAAATCTCACTAAAAGAAAATTAAGTGGAAGGTTCTAGTACCTTTTCTATGTGTCACGAGCATAGTCTTATTTTTGGTTTATGGTATTTTCAAAAATTTGAGTGGTGACGTTTTCTAATTTAGTGTACGATATATATACAACTAAATTTTTAATTTTTTTTATTATACATGATATTGAAATTATCATCGTTATGCGAAGTAACATTATATTTTCAATTATACCCAAATAAACATGAAATGGTAACAATTTGCACAAGTTAACCTGGTGGAACTGAAATCTGAATTTCTTTGCCTGCTGAAACTAATGTTTGTGAGCCAACATAATCAATATTGTCTATACACCAGAGTAGGGGTCAAATCAAACAAGCAGGATTTAAAATTTGGGAGAACAAACGAATAAGGATCAATTATTTCGAGAAACAAAATCACCAATAGATTTGTTACGCTTTACTTTCACTGACTATTTGCAAATAATATATAAGAAATCTCTTAAGTAGTTAGTTATTTTCTATTTAATATATAGGGTTTCCGAGGTGTTATTTTGATTTTCGAAGACACTTTTAAGATCGATGGTTTCGTTGCATGTGTGGCCCGTGGCACAGTCTCGTTAAAAGTAAACGTTGTCCAATTCAACACCATCAAATTCCGACCATACAAAAATCATAATCTCTTGCTTGGGTTTCCGAGCCCCATATGCTACGGTTTAGCTTATTGACATAGCCATCGAGGTGGAAAGCGTGCATCGTTCTATTTGTATTACTGGAATAGTTTTTACTTGGCAAATGTTAAAATATTACAGCTTCAAAAATGGCATATACCGGAATAACTGGGAAATGTTTTTCTTTCAACATTTTCATGAAACTGAAAAGTTCTTCACGGTCGAGAAGTTAGGGTTTTCTATATTGATTGAAGCGAATAAAAAAGTTGTATATTTGTCTATAGACATTTACGTTCATATCTTTTATTTTTGTATATGCATAAGTATTTCGCAATTTATACAACCTCAAAAAACAAAACCAATTTTTTATGGGATTCTCTGCATGGTATGATTTTCCCTATACTTACTACATCATTTTTGCCAATGCTGCCTCGAATGTAGACTTCATGCCTACTATTTTTTGATTATTCAATATGCACTTTTTGAATATTTCTTGTATACAATCAAAAGTTGTATTGCATAAAAAAAATTGCTAGATTGTTGTTTATGAATTATAGGTCTCGGAAGACATTTACAGTAAGCACAGTTTATTTATAGTTTTGCTAACAAAATGCTTTTGTATCACATGCGATTATCTCCATCAATATTGTTCACAGTGCCATTACAAAAAATAAATTGCGTTGAAAAATAGGTCAACAATCTCAGTGTTGGTGTTAAGTACAAATAGCTCAAGTTTAAAGATTAAAAGATGAATGCTTATTTTAGTTAATTTCTAAGGTAAATAAATAATCGTGACTGAAAAGAATATTTTATTTCTTTAATTTTAAACATCAAAATTTATTGTCAGAATAGCCTTTGTGAGCGATTTCTACTGTATATGAGAAATGTCGTCAATATTCAACTTCTTCACACACGCATAGTAAGAACGGAAGCCTATTTTACGTCCCAATTGATCGCACCGATGTATAAAACGCACTGAAACGCACTGCAATGCACTGAAACGCATTTGTAGCGGCAAAACAAATACAGCTTGCATTACGTGAATGACCAATGGCAGAGTGTGTCGCTAAACTCACTTTACGAGTAGTTTGTTGTTTTAAATTTGCAAATAAAGCTTTTTTCACATATTGTACAACTATCAGGTAGAATCTTTCTATGTGTTTGTATGAATAGTATCCCAGTAGCAAAATTGGTCACCAATGACTTCGTCACTAATGAAGACTTAGTGACTTCGACGTAATCACTTACTGGTGCATGATAATATTAGATGGCAATGGGCTTATTCGAGTCTCAACTAATGGTTTCAAATTCCAAGCCTTCGGGCAATTTTTACCTTTCATGTGCGCAAAACCCAGAAAAACCGCCAACAGCACAATATTTGATTTAAAAAGCAACGTATGCAATTTTGTTTACATTTTAATAAAAAAAAACGGAGTTTACAATTTCCACTGCTAATTTATCTGCAATATTTTAGGTAAAGTATCAGCTCAGCATCTGCAATAGATTACTATGAGAGACCTCGTTTCTGTGTTGTGAAATATATTTGCTAATATATTGAATATTGAATGTTATAATTGGCCGCAACATGACAATAGCTCTGATCGGCTGGATGTCACTAGTAAATTAAGAGAGTAAGATGTCTTGCTCTTCCAAACACAGTCAAATGTCCAGCGAAGGCAGCATCCAATTTAAGCGGCTGTTCGGGCATAGAATTGACCACGAAATGTGGCGAAGCCTGGACAAGGGGCACGCACGCGTCAGGCTTATTGCAAACTCAAAACGAGG